GGGTATATGTTCCATCCACTCTTCTCCTCCCACCCCCGAATCCCTGCCACCAACCCAAGAACAACCTGAGCTGAGCAGTGCTGGCTTGTGGATTTGTGTGGTTCTCATAAAGGTATATTGGCCCATATATTGGTGTCAAGTCGGTGTCTCTGTTGGACAGTGAAGGCTGGGACTTCCTATTCTGCCATCTTGTTGAGATCACAGCCTCATCTCTTTCTCATAATGTGATATTTCATTTTATCTAAAACAGCATTAACTATTGAACACATCCCAATTTGGGGTATGTTAAAAATGAGGGAAAATAACCAATGGCAACAGTAAGACACCATATACGGTAAAATGCACCAGTCTTATTATGAGAGAAGCCAACCCCAAGTATTAGTTAGGGTGAACGGTTAGGGTGCTGTAAAAAAGGAGACCCAAGAAAGCAGTGGCGTGGAGGACAGAAAGAAGTGTATTTCACAAACAAACAAACAAAACAAAACAAAACAAAAAAGAAGTGTATTTCTTTTTCTCTCTCATTAACAGCTTTGAGGTGAGAGTCCAGGTGAGTAGGGTAAGATAGTCACATGCTAGATTCAAGAACCCAGTTCCTTTTATCCTGTTGCTCTGCATCCACTAGGGTGCAACATCTGACATACTTAAAATGATTCACTGTTCATCTGAAATTCAAATTTAACTGGGTCTCTTGTGTTTTATCTGGTGAGTCTACAGTAGGACATTGTCTAGTCTACAACCAGCAAAGCTGGGTTCCTGCAGATTACAGCTGGTGAAAGGCGGAAAGAAAATGAGGTGAAGGCATACCAGCTCTCCGGAGGTCTAGGTCCAGAAGTGTCATATACAATTCAGCTCATTTTCCATTGGCAAGAAATTGAATCACATGTTTATGTCCAACTGCAAAGGAGACTGGGGAATGTTGGTTAGTTAAATGCCCTCCACCAAAAAAAAAAAAAAAAAAAGGGTGAGAGGATTACCAACCATCTTCACCATAAGAACCCTCTGGATTGATTTTCTATGTCCTTTATTTCTTCTTTTCACATCTGTGTGTTTTTGCTTACATTTTAGGGGCTTTTCTTGATTTTATCTTCCAAGTGGTCTCTTGAATATCTTATTTTAGCTACCGTGTTTAATTTCCAAAAGCTATTTCTTATTTTCCAATTACTCCTTTCCACTAGCAACCTTTCTTGCTTTATGGAGGTAGTATCTTTTCAGATCTTTCTGAGAATATAATTAGAATTTTTAAAGATTCCACTGTGCCATTACTTTCTGTTTTCTAGAGTCACTTATTCTGTTTATCTTCTCTCTCTCCCTCTTTCCCTTCCTCCCTCTCCTTTCCCCTCCCTCTTTCATGCTTCTAGCTATCTTCATAATTCTGGTGCTCCCGGTTGCCTGTTCATGAAATAACAGACAAACTTGATTAATTTTAGTAACTGAGTTGGTTTTCTCTTCTGCTGTATGTTTCCTGTGTTGCTGTATCTGTTTCCCTGATACAGTCACGCTCTTAAATAGGAAGAATGAGTATAGTTTTATGGCAGGCTTGACTATAGGGTGGATGATTGTTGGGGGAGGGTTTATAAATGTCAGAATGACAAAAGTTTTATTCTGGTATGCTAACACCACACAAAAACACACTAGAATTTTCCTAGAGATTTATTGGATTTCTATAAAATGACCCTTCTGGGTTCTTGCTACATGTGCATGTGTGTGCACTCATGCACATGTGTTGCGTGTGTGTTGTTTGTCTGGAGGTAAGTGCCAGTCACCCTCCATTCTGGAGATAAGAGGGGGGTGACTGGTGCAAGCTTCTGCATAGACCTACAAACTCCCTAGTTTTTAGGTCCATTTTTTTTTCTGTCCTCAGTACTTGCTAATTATAAAGTCAGAGCCTCTCTGGAATTTTGCCAGAAAGACTGGCTCTCTCTTCCATTGCCCACCTCTGGGCCATGGCTTCCTTCAGTCTGTGAAGCCATCCTTGTATGTCATCTACTTCTAGAAATTTGTTGATGTCTTTGCACCTGCCACCCTTCTCCCCTGCCATTCTGTTGTTTTAGGGGGGTTATTAGGAGAAAGGGGAGGAAATCACTTGAGCTTAGACTACTGTCTTAAAGCTTTAATGTTCACATGCTTTGCAAATCTCTGAAGATATTTATTTTTGCAAATGCTTTATGGGGTGGAACAAGCTGGTAAATGGCGAGGCCTCTTCCGCTGAGCTCCTGAGGATGTTTGTGTATGCAAATTGGCATCAGAGGCTGAGGAAAGCCACACGGCTTTCTATAATAGAGTAAAACAACCTGGAGTTTCCAGGGAATCTGGGAAAAAGAGGCTAAGAGCAGCAACGGGAGGAAGGAGAGGAAGCTAGTGACATGCCATGATGGAAACCCCTCCCCAAGACTCCCAATGTCTCAAAGGGATTCTAAATACCTAGAATGGCAGCATTTCTCGGGGAAGTCCATGAAGGTGCTTAACTCTGGGATAGGGACAATGGGGACAAAACAGTGAAGGCTTGTACAGACCACAGGAACCTTTGATAAGAAGAGACCATAAAGCATAAATCACAAGAACCTGCAGAAATCATGTGGAGAGTTTGAACTTTCCCTTCCGTGAAATTGGCAAGGCTCTGGGCCAAAGCTACAGAGCTCTCATGGGTTAGGAGAGTCCCATCTAGCCCCTGCTAACACGGAAACCCCAGGCCATGAACTCGGTCAAAAAAGGGCAAATGAGATTGGTCAGCAAATTATGTCCCATGATCAAAGCAGATGCCTTGTACATTGGTCCTGGGTCTTACTAGCAGCAAAGACTCCCCAAAAGTCACAGTATGTGTCACTAAGGTTGCAAGGTAATGATACCAAGCTCCCCAGACTGAGAGGAGACAGACAGACCTGGCTTGGTCATGGGTATAAAGAAGAGCTTGGCCTTGGGATCAGACGTACCTGACTTGAATCCCAGCTCAGTCATTCGGTCGGGTCATTTAACCTCTCAGAATTTTCTTATCTTGAAAATGTGGATACTGCTACCTTGGAGGATAGTTACAGAGATCAAAGGTAAGAGATGTTCAATAACTGTTGCTCAGCAGATGCTTGATAGATGGCAACCTTTATTATTAAGGTGTGTGAGCATTCATATATGTCAGTTTGTTTGACTCTGCTTAAAATATGGAGATTTTCAAGAAGCAGGGAAATGTATGTGAAATAAAAGTGCTTTGTAAACTGTAAAGGGCCATACAAATGTCCGGGAATCATTTGGGAAGTCTTCCATAGTTGGAAAATATACAGGTTTTGGATTTGGGCAGAAGTAGGTTCGGTTCCTGACCCTGCCATTTACTTGCCGTGTAATCTTGGCTAAGTCATTTTCTGTCAGCCTGTTTCTGCCATTGTCAAATGTACATAAGTCTCACTTCACAGGGTTGTTGTGAGAATTCAGTGGGATGAAGAGTGGAAAGCTCCTGGGCACATCCCTTCCTGGGTGGGTGGCAAGGTCCCATGTGATACGTCAGGTTATGGGCAGTGTCAGTGCCAAGCCTGATGCCAGTCTCATCCTGTCAACTGTCTACCTATGAAGAGGACCCTTCACTCCAGAGAAGCAGGACCCCAGATTGGCAAGAAGTAGAGAAGGGTCTTTTGTATTTCCTGGAGGAAATCTGGTCAACACTAAACTTATATACAGAAAGCACTGAAATCTGCAGTATGGAACCAGGCCTAAACCGGGGCAGGAAGCGGGAATAATTCCTGCTAAGTTGTCCCAGATTTGGGTACTAACTTATTGCTCCTAAGGGCAGAATCTCATTATGGGTTCATCTTATCCCACCCTTCAACCCCTACTCCCTGCCACTGTCATTTTTCCTAGGCACAAATAAGTGCTCAATAAAGAGTCTAAAGTTGAGCCTGCCCGGTGTGGCTCAGGGGTTGAGTGTCAACCTATGAACCAGGAGGTCATGGTTTGATTCTCAGTCAAGAAATATGCCCGGGCTGTGGGTTCGATCCCCAGTGTGGGGCGTGCAGGAGGCAGCCGATCAATGCTTCTCACTCATCATTGATGTTCCTATCTCTCCCTTCCTCTCTGAAATCAATAAAAAGATAGATATTTTTTAAATGGTCTAAAGTTGAAAAGGTAGCACTAACTTCCTATAGAGCAAATTGTCCAGGGCCATACTAGCTCCCATCTCCAGGCCTTGGACCCAGGTCAGCCCCCTAAGAGGCTCCTTCTTCAAAGCCAACAAGGTGAATGTAGTGAAAAGAACATCATCTTAGAACCAAAGGAGGCCCAAGCTTAAACTCTGGTTCTACCACATACCTGCTGTGTGACTTCACAGCAAGTGACTTCCCTTTTCCTCACTTCTGTTTCATTTTATTCCCTTGAGGGTTGCTGTAACAACTAAATGAAATAAAGAATGGAAATGGGAGCCCTGGCTGGTTTGGCTCAGTGGATAGAGCGTCAGCCTGAGGACTGAAGAGTTCAATTCTGGTCAAGGGCACATGCCCGGGTTGCAGGCTCAATCCCTGGTGGGGGGCATGCAGGAGGCGGCCGATCAATGATTCTCTCTCATCATTGATGTTTCTATCTCACTCTCCCTCTCCTTTCCTCTCTGAAATCAACAAAAATATGTATTTTTAAAAAAAAATGGAAACGTGACTGGTAGCCCTAGCCAGTTTGGTTTAGTCACTAAACCAAGTGGTTCTCAACCTTCCTAATGCCGCAACCCTTCAATACAGTTCCTCATGTTGTGGTGACCCCCAACCATAAAATTATTTTCGTTGCTACTTCATAACTGTGATTTTGCTACTGTTATGAATCGTAATGTAAATATCTGATATGCTATATGTGTTTTCCGATGGTCACAACCCACAGAACCGCTGGTGGATGGAGTGTCAGCCTGTGGACGAAAGGGTCCCAAGTTCGACTCTAGTCAAGGGCACATGCCTGGGTTGTGGGCTCAATCCCCAGTGAGGGGTGTGCAGGAAGCAGCCGATCAATGATTCTCTCACCACTGATGTTTCTCCCTCTCTCTCCCTCTCCCTTCCTCTCTGAATTCAATAAAATATATTTCTTTTAAAGAAAAGAAATGTGACTGGTAGAATCTATGGCATTTGGTGAGTGCTCAATTAATGTTAATTCCTTTCCTTTCTCCTTTCTCCCCAAAGGCCCAGAGACTTAGCCTGCTTCCCTTTGCTTTTCTGAGCAACCACCCATCTTGTCTTTCTTGAAATTCAACTCTCAGAGTAGCTGCAGAGAGACCAGCTCCCCACTTCTTTGATGCCCCCAAATAAGTACACAGGTCCTTTTCATTGAAGGGTTTTACTGCTGGTCACTCAGGGAACAGATGCAGGTTGGGAGAGGGATAACAAGTCACACACACGGGGAGTGTGAAGGTCCCTAGATCATGGCTCCCTGAGGGCTTCCCCTCCATTTCTAAGGCAGGACCGCCTCTCCAGGCCAAGGAGGCTCCGTCCACTGGGAAGACGGCTCCTCCCAGCCCAGCTGGAGCACAGTGGACGGAACTAGCAGGCCACTGCAATGGGCCCTCAGCAGTTCATACACAATGTGGTGCCCATTGCACAGGTATTTCCTCAAAGGCCAGGGACAGCTGCCCTAATAACGTGAGCATTTACTAAACCTACCCTATTTCTCTTTCACCCCAAGGAGATGAAGCCAAGACCAGATCCTCTGACTTTCCAAGGCAAAATATCGGCTTGGAAAGGGGCAAAGATTTTTACTCAGAGTCCCTTCTCAGGGCTTGCTAGAGATCCTGGCTTCAGAGGCAACAGGGAAACATTCTCCAAAGTGGGGTGAAGGGCTTGAGGTCAAAGGGTAGCAGCAGATCCTAAAGTTCTTCCTACACTACATTGAGGTCTCTCCCTCACTCCTTCAGCCAGAATCTTTCCCAGCCTGCTCTCCCATGTGCGTTTTCTGGTGGCGGATGAGATTTGAGCTCCGAGAGAAGTGTTTCCCACACAGAGTGCACCGGTAGGGCTTCTCCCCTCTGTGAGTCCTCTGGTGCGCTCCAAAGTTGGAGATATCGCTGAAGGTCCGCCCACATTCGGTGCACTCGTAAGGCCTCTCGCCTGTGTGGGTGCGGTGGTGCACCCCAAAGCTGGAGCTGTTGCTGAAGCTCTTCCCACACTCACAGCAGATGTAGGGTGCCGGCTCGAGGTGGGTCCGGTGATGCACGGCCAGCGTGGCACTCTGGCTGAAGCTCTTGCCACAGATGTCACAGCGGTACGGCCGCTTGCCCAGGTGATCTTGCTGGTGTGTGGTGAGATCCGAGCGCCGCCGAAAGCTCTCCTGACACTTGGGACATTTGTAGTGCTTCTCCTCCAGGTGGATCCGCTCGTGCCGGATGCGGTTGGAGCTTCTCGAGAAGCTCTTGCCACATTCAGAGCATTTGTAAGGCTTCTCGCCCGTGTGGATCCGCTGGTGTGTTCTCAGGTTGGAGGTGTTATTGAAGGTTTTGCCACACTGGGCACATATAAAGGGCTTCTCATCGGCCTCAAGTCTTGAATGGACAACAGGGTCCCCTGGCTCTCCAGTGGGGACAGTGGCTTTCTGCCAGGGCTTTTGGGGATGGGTCCCTTGTGGTCTCTCTGACAGGCTCTCTTGCCCATGCTCTTTCTCCCCATCTGGGATCCGAAAACCCTCTGGGTCATCCGCTCTCCAAGGCTTACCCCGCTCCCCTTCCTCAGGCAGGTGCTGTTCTGGATTCTGCTCCTTCTCACTGCCCATCTCTGAACCCTGAGAACGAACACAAATGGCCAACACCTTTATTCCTTGGGTCAGGCCAGGCCACAGGGAATCTTGTTCTGTTTGAAGAGGGATACACCTTCCCCATGGAACCAGCCATCAGAAGTAACCTCAATTAATGGGAAAATTTGCATAGAATGCCTTTACTTAGTAACTTTCAAGTGAACAAACTTCCAGATATTTAAAGGTACCAAACCAGAATGAAAAGGAACCGTTTTGTCCACTACCACAGATCATATTTGTGCAATTGAATAATATCATTTTTCTTCATACCACTAAACGATACAGTCCACACTATAATTTATGTGCAAGTGAAGGACTTCCATTCAGTTCTTCTGCCTAACTGTAAGTTAACTGAAACTCGTGTTTATATCTTTTTTTTAACCTTCCTTAAAAGTATCCATCTATGTGCCTGCTTTCAAAACGAACATAACAGAACCTCTCATTCTTGAGGCTCTCCTGGTTGTTTACAAGCCCAGTTCTGAATCCTCTTAGGTGTTCTGTACCCTTCCCTTCCCTTCCTCGGACCTCACTATAATCCAGCAAGTAATGAGTTAACATCTGAGACCTACTGCAGGGTCTGGGCCATGTCTGTTCTCATTGGTCAGTACACACTTCTACTCTCAAACACCATACAGAAGCACATGCACACACACATGCTCACTCCATATGCACAGCCATAGTCACATTCCAGACACACTCAGCCACCTCACACCACACATACATACCACAGTCACACATACACCACACTCTCACAGCACATATAGCCACACACATGCATATCATATACACCATTCACAGTCCTCCCACACATACAGTCACATAACTGGCTACGTACTCACATACATACAGCTATACTCTTATACCACATGCAATCTCACACACATATACACAGCCATACACTCACATGCTACATACACACAAAGACAAGAGACAAGACACAAAAATCACACACACACACACACACCACATTCCCCTCACACATAGCTACACACACACACAGTGACTAGCACAGGGCCTACTTATGCAAACATCAGTAAATGCTTGCTAAGGGGCATACATTCTTTCGAGGTCCTACAGCCAAGAACAGAGAATGACGGGAAGAAAAAGCACTTCTTATACGAGGAGGGTGTGGTGTTTCCTCTGGGCCTTGGAGAAATAACATTTCAAAAGGCAGAGCGGGCTGCTGGAGATGCAGGAGAGACATGAACAAAGGGTGAGGGAGGGAAGCACACACTATGGAGAGGCCCTGATGATAAAATGAAAGACTGATACTTCCTTCAGGTCAGCAAGTATTTTTGGAAAACAGCGACATAAAGTAACAGAAGGGACACTGACTACATTTAGGGTTGGATCCCAGTGATTCTCTTTAAAATTCTGCAAACTATTCAACCACTCTGAGCCTCAGCTCCCACATCGCTAAAATTGTGACGACCTACCTACACTGCGTTAGAGAAGATGCCAGGCATGCTCAGTGTAGGGGGTGGTATGTACTCGTCATTCAGCAAACGACAGCGACTGTTACAGTTGTTGAGGGCACTGTTTCCTAGACCTGTGGGGAATACAAGAATGGAAAAGATCCCTTCAGTGATCTTATTAGGAAAAAAACATTTCTTAATTGCAAAATGGTACAAGAACGCCCGGTTAGGTGGTTCAGTTGGCTGGAGCGTTGTCCCATACACCAAAAGGTGATGGGTTCGGGTACGATTTCCAGTCAGAGCACATACCCAGGTTATGGGTTCCATCCCCAGTCAGAGCACATACAGGAGGCGACTGATCAATGTTTCTCTGACACACCAATGTTTCTCTCTCTCTCCCCCTCTCCCCCTCCCTCCCTCCGTTTCCCTTCCTCTCTTTCTCTAAAATCTCAAAAACATATCCTTGAGTGAGGATTTAAAAAAATGGTACAAGACTGTATATAACCTAAATTATAAAATATGGAAAGAGCCTCAAATCTTTAAGTAGGATCAGAAAACTTTTTCTGTAAAGGGCCAGAGAGTAAATATTTAGTAAATATTTGGGGCCACAGAATCTCTGTTGCAACTCTGCTGTTGTATTATAAAAGCAGCCATAGACAATACATAAACCAATGTGGCTGTGTCTGAATAAAACTTTATTTATAAGCAAAAGGAGGCCAGCTTAGTTTACCAATCTCTGTTAGAACGTGTTTCTTGAAGAACCTAGCTAAGCAATGTGAAAGATAGGCTTGCTTCACTTTCAAATATGCAGCTAAACATCAGAAAGTTTATTCCTTGATACTTATTCACTGTTTCCTGACCATCCTTTTACAAATCACACCCCCCTCCCACACTTCCAGTCCCTGTGCCCAACAGTACTTCTCACAATCTAACATTGCACCTATTTATATGTCTTTTATATATGATCTGCCTCCCTACTCCCTGCTAAAACATAAGTCCCATGAGGGCCAGGGTCTCTATTTTTTATTCACTAATGTAACTTCAACTCCTAGAGTACTGGCAGTCAGATAGAGTAGATCCTTAATAAATATTTGAATGAGTTGAGTAAATGAAGGCCAGGCCTGCCTCCAGAACCCATGGCATGCTGGTGTCCATTCTCCCCACTGTCCCTCAGCAATCTCTTCCTTCCTCCCATTTCCTCCTTTAAGACCCCACAGGATCTTGTACTTGCTTTTACAGTGATTTGTAATTACAGTGTAACCATTTACATGCCTGTGTCCACTAGAAGTTTTTAAGTAACTTGAGGGTAGGACTGGATCATTTTGGTAATCTCTTCCCAACACAAGGCCCAGTGCTCAAATGTTGTTAAGTGTGGTTGAATATGTCCTTAAGTCACTCCCCACCCCTGCCCACCTCACCAAGGGCTCCATGCCATAAGTTACACAGCCTCTACTCACTTCGAATCCTGCTACTCTGAGAACTTACTAGTATACTTTACCAGCTGATTCTACCCAGGTCTGAATGCTGGGTCAAAATAAGAGCAAAAGGATTTAGGATTGTGGTTACTACCCTCAAACAGTTTATGGTTCAGTGCAGCGAAATGGGCCATGAACTCCAGAAACTCTTGTACAGTAGAAGGTTAAGTTCCAGGGGGACGGGGACTGTGCCTTAGTCGCCTTTGTATCCACTCCTCAGTGCCTCGTACAGCACCTGGCACATTTTACAGGAACCAACAATAATAATAGTTAACAATTGTTAAGCTCATTCCAAGTGCTAGGCCATAGACTAATCACTAAATATTAATCGTCCCCTTTCATTCTCACAACTTATTTTAGAGATGAGGAAACTGAGGCTCAGAGAATGGCAGAACTAGGACTGATGCCCATCATCCCAAAGCCAGTGCCACACTAGCATTGAAGGGAGAGAGAGGAAGGGAGAGAGAGGGAGGGAGAGAGAGGGATGGAGAGAGGGAAGAAAGAAGGAGGGAGGGGGAAAGGGAGGAGAGAAGGAGGGAAGGAGGAGAAAGAAGGGAAGGGGGGAGAAAGGAGGGCAGAAAGAGAGGAAAAAACAATGCCACAGGGTTTCAAAAGACAGAGGCATACTTCCCTGAAGAGGTCAGGGATGAGCAGCTTCATGAAAAAGATGGAGTTCCAGCTGGGCTTGCAGGATGGGCATGACTGGAACTCACAGAGAGGGGAATCCACCATCTACTGAAAAGACAGTGGCAGGTAAAGTGCAGAGGCACTTTCCTATCACATTTCAGAGATTTGGGTGAGAAAGGGGCCCATCCCTCTTATCTTCCCCCTTGTCTTCCCGGGAGGCTCAGAGGTACAAGGAGGACCAAAGGAGGAAGGGACTCTGGCAGTGGAGGAGGAGCCAGGTCTAAAGAGTAAGAGCCAAGAAGATGGGGCCGGTCAGATGCTCAAGTTCAAAGGCCAGGACTAGAGGGAACAGGCCAAGCTGGAAGTTGGGGTGAAGGGCCAAAGTTTGGGTTCTTTCGGGTCAAGTGGAGAACTGGGGGAAGAAGGAGTAGGGGAGCTTGGAAAGACCAGAGAAGAGGGAACTGCACAGGGTCGGAGACCGAGGAGGATCAAAGGAGTCGGAGGGTCAAAGAAGATGGTCAGGAGACAGGGCGCACACGCTGCAATCGGAGGTGTCAGGGGACCGCGGCCCAAGAGGCTGGGTTGTGCGTCGGGGAGAAGCCCACGGGTACGAGCGCTCTGGAGGACAGGGGCTGGGTTCGGAGTTGCTGCAGGGCTTGGGGCCGGAGGGGTGGGATAGGTGGGGCTGAGCCCAAAGGTATGGTCAGTGGCAGGGGGGCTGGAGTCCTCAAAGGCCAACAGGAGAAGGGCCCGAGGGTCAGGGCTGGAGCCAGCAGGCTGGCGCGCGGGCCGGGGAGGACCGGGGTCGGGATCACAGGGCCCTATTTGCTCCCCACTGGGTCTGGGGAGCAAAGCCACAACCTCCGGCTTCCCGGAGAGATAGAAGGAGCCATGCTCAGCGTCCCCGCGAAAACACGTCTACCTCCCCCCGTGTCCGCGGGCCCAACCCGAACCCACCTCGCTCCCGCCGCTCGGTCAGGGACAGCGCTGCCTCGCTGACCGGGGAGGAGCCGGAGCCGGAGCCGGAACCCAGAAAGGACCCACCCTGCCTTTCCAGGATTGGCTCCTGAGACTTACCTTTCTTTCCCATTGGCTCTACTTGCTGCCATAACGCAAGAAACCCGAGCGGGCCCGCCAATCAGCTGTGAACTCGGTGGTGGCTTGCTGGGAGTTGTAGTCCTGAAGAAGATCGAAGCCTCAGAGAAGAAATGTGCCAAGTTTGGAACCCAGCCTGGACGCTGGGTTTCCTCCTCAGGTCGTCGGATTTCCTTCTGTGCTTCAGCGTTAAAAGCCCCATGTAGGGCCGCTAGCCTGCGAGTTGTAGGCTATGTAGAGCTAGCCTACATGACCTCCATGAGTTGGTGACTCTTACTGGTCCTGAAGACATTCCCCTAAGCCTAGAGTCCTGAGCCTCAGTCAAAGTTCATAGAGGTTCATAATTTAAAGTCAAAGGATTGTGGAACTGGAGGGAGTTCAGAGGTCAACCAGCCCAATCCACTTATCAGAGAAGCTAAACCTTCCCTGTCCTAAGACCTCCAGGTCTCCTAACACCCCTGCACAGGGATTTTTCTGCGTCCTATGTAGTTAAACCTGACTGTTTGTTCATCAATCCTGACGGAACTAGCCCACTAATGTATATCCAGGATTGGGATTTTTTTTTCCAGGTTTCCCTTTTTAAAAGTCTAATTGAATAAGTAGGCTAAAATTCTACAGGCTTCTCATAGCTGCACGCTATTCCAGTGCAAAGAGTGTTGACTTCAGAGCTAAGTAAACCAGGTCTATAATCCCGTTCTAGCACCCGGCCATTTGGAGCAGCATTTTCCTCCCCTGTAAAATCCCCGGCAGAATTGTCGGAAGGCCATCGCAAGCTTCTGCCCCCACAAATGTCAGGTCTCTTTCCTGGTGGTAAATTCTCTTGGGTGCATCCAATGTGGACAATGTGGACATGGGATATTCAGGAAAGTGGATTTGAAACTGCATATGGATGAGTGAAATATCAATACCCCACTATAAATATACTATTTGTTTATAAATTGATGTAAATAAAATGCTAAGAAGACAGACTCCAGTTTTTGTTGGGTAGAACTGAGTACCCATCTGAAAATTAATAGCTAATATCTCTATCAGAAATAGAACTGTAGCTTTATTTGTAACTGTGGTTAAAGCTTGCTTGAGTGGATTCAAGGCTGTTTGGAAACCAAGCCCATAATGTGTTTTTCTCTTATCAGCCCAAAGCCTTTTCCTATAACTTTTCATCCACAATGAAAATAACAACAATGAATACCAAACTTTTATTTAAGAACTGTACAAAAGCAAATAAAAATTTCTACTTGAGCCCTGGCTGGTGTGGCTCATTTGGTTGAAGTGTCGTCCCATACAACAAAAGGTGGCGGGTTCGATTCCTAGTCAGGGCACATACCCAGGTTGCGGGTTTAATCACTAGTCAGTATGCATACTGGAGGCATTGGTATGGATATTTCTCTCTCACATTGATGTTTCTCTCTCTTTCTCTCTCTCTCTCTCTCTCTCTCTCTCTCTCTCTCTCTCTCAAATCAATAATAATAATATTTTGTAATGAAGATTTTTTTAAAGAAAGAAAAATTTTACTTGGTGATTAATTTTGTGTGTCAACTTGACTAGACTGCAGAATGCTCCAATATTTGGTCAAATATTATTCTGGATGTTTCTGTAAGGGTATTTTTGGATGAAATTAACATTTAAATTATTATTTTGAGTAAAGTAAATTCCTCTCCCTAACATGGTGGGCCTCGCCAATCAGTTCAAGGCATAAATAGAACCAAAAAAGCTTGACTCTTTCCCTAGTAAAATTCTTCCTGCCTGACAGCCTTCAGACTGGAATTACATCATAGGCCCTCCTGGGTCTTGGGCCTCCAGACTCAGACAGGAACTAAACCATTGGCTCCCCAGAACCCCTCCAACCTGCTGACTATCCCTGCAGATCTTGGGACTTGCCATCCTCCATAATCACATAAGCCAATTTCTTATAATCTTTCCTTCTCTCTCTCTCTCTCTCACCATATATATATACATATATATATTTCCATGAAGAACCCTGACTAATACAGGCACTACAGAGTAACAGAGTGAACTTCTGACAGAAAGATCCAGTTTTTGTGGGGTAGAACTGAGTACCCATCTGAAAACTAATAGCCAATATCTCCAAAAAGAGGCCAGATCACCTCTGTGGTATGACTTGAAAGTGACTAAGCTTCTTTCTGAAATCCACACAAAAAATCTGGTTCATTACTTTATCTTCACACCTGGTCTATCAACTTCCTTTCTGAAATCAGTACTCTCTGACCTAGGAGTCCGCTGCACCAAGCATGTCAAACTCGCGACCCGGGGGCCTCATGCCTTGTTTATTTGTCCTGAGTTAGCCTTTGAGTTTGACATGCTTGTGCTACACGAATAGTCAAGTCTTCCAGTATAATGTCTTGTGGGGGGAAACTGTCTTTATTGGTGGTTAAAGCTGCCACTTTTTCTAGCGGGGCCTCTCTAAATCTCAGGAGGGTATTCGAAAGGGCCAGCGCAGCAGACAAACTTATCCATCGCTGTCTCTTCAAGGCCTCACACAGCTGCCTGCTGTGTTTGAAGTTGTGTTTACCAGTTCCCTGATTTGCACCTGGGGCTTTTTCAGGGTTACAGCTACCACTCTAAGTCCCTGTACCTCATGATTTACCATCACTAGGTAAATCAGCTTTGAAAACGTACGTTAGCTCTGGATATCACAAAACTATGCTGTCAACAGCATCAAGGAACTAGAAAGGGACATGTTTTACCCCCTGATCCACCCTACCCCATAGTCCAGAAGGATAAAGAAAGAGTGTGTGACCCAAGCATGATTACTTTTAAAAAGCTGGCTTTGGGGGCTAAAGGCATGAACTAAAACAGAGAGAAAAGCCATTCTTGATGACATAAGTAGAAGTCGGGGACTGGGCTCCATAACATCACAACTAAAAGCCCAAGTCAGGATGCGATAAAATGAAGTTCTCTTGAATAGCCCCTCGCGTGGAGAACCCTGGGTCTCGGTGACACCCACTCACCATCACCGCCTCGCCCTAATCTGGTTGTTCACCTGGTTTTCAAGAATTCTTCCAGGGCAATGGGAACTTCGGTCCCCCGCAGGAAACAGGGTTTAGAAATGAGAGGAAGGTGGCATGAATAGAACCACAAAAGGGTCTGGATTTGGGGAAAGGAGATGAGCTGTTCCAGAGGCCGGTGTCGGGCCAGGAGACTGAAATCCAGAGCCCTGGGCCGAGGGTCAGGCGCAGCCAAGGAGGCACCTCCCTAAAAAGAAGGAACCTTGAGCCCCTGGAGCGCTGGGCCCAGATCGGGGGACCAGGGCCGGAGGGAAGCGTCCACCTTCAGGGCCACATCCCCGTTCGCGCGGCCTTTTCCATCTGACTTGGGGACCACGGGTTCCTCCGATTTCTGGAGTTCCGAGCAAATGACTAGCGGAGCCGTGTTTTTCCCTCCATCGTGAAGGCACGGTTCAAAGAACGGGCGCAGGGGGCCAGAGAACGCGTGGGTGAAGGTAAAGATGTGGGACCTGTCGGTCGCGTTGTAGAAGGAGATGATGCCTGCTTCGTAGTCCAGGAAGACGCCCACGCAGCGCGGGGCCTCCTTCAGGCGGAAGGGGGTCTGCGGGGACGTGAGAGCTTCGTACTCGGCCGCGCGGCTCTGCCGCACCAGCCAGTGCCCGTTGGCGGGCGAGGCGGTGACCTTGCCCTTCCTGCTCACTGACTCGCTGCACACCCCCAGGATCCATTTGGTCTTGTCTCCCACGTACACCTCCCAGTAGTGACAGCCCGCCACGAAGGCCTCGGAGCCCAGGACGCTGACGACGAAATCGAACCTCTGGGGGGTGTCAGGCACAGGCTGCCTCCTGTCTCCGAGCTGCACACGCCGGCGGTCCTCGGACAGGATGAGTTTGGGATGCGCGGTGTCGGGGTCCAGGGTCACGGCCACTGCAGAGGGGCACAGAGAGGAGAGGTTTGGGTAGTTTCGGAGGGAAAAATCACCTCTGGGTCAGCAACCCACGTCACTGGACCCATTTTAGTGTATGATTCCTTCGACCCCAGATGTACTGGAGCCAAAGAAAAGTGTCTTCCGGGCTCCTGGATCTCCTGGTCATCCTATATAATAAAAGGCCAGCGACCATAACGACTGGAACGACCACTTGACCAGTCGCTATGAGGTGCATTGCCCACCTCTCAGTCCCTCCTCCTCGGCCTGCAGGCTCCGACTACAGCATGATGAATAGGGAACCACAGGGAACCGGGTGGGTGGCAGTGGCAGCCTGAGCGAAGCAGCCCAGGGTGGGGGGGGGGGGGGGGGGGCTTACTCTTGCATGAATTTTCGTGCATCAGGCCTCTAGTGTGTTCAATAAAACAGGAGAAAGTTTTCCTTTGTGAAGCTGCCTTAATCCCTTAGGAAATACCGCCTTGGTCTCCGATGGTCCAGGGGAAGCTAATGTATGATAATAAACCTTGGCTCTGAGGTCAGACCCAGAAGCCACACTGGACGTGGAAGTCCCAGCTCTGCCGCAGGCTGGTTATGTGACCTGGGGCGTGCTATTCCTCTCCAAACCTTCGTCTCTTCATCCGTACAGTGGGAACAATGGCAGGCCCGACGTGGCCGAGCTGCTGTGCACATCTGAGGAGCTAACACGTGAGGCAGTGCCTCCTTCATACACAATGTGTGATGCTCATCTTGGTAACTGAAATTGTTGCTCAAAATTATTATTTTTAAATGTTAACAGAGAGAGAAGGATTCTTCCTTAAAATTGTGGAAGGTCATGGTGGGTCTCCCTCCTTCCCCCAGTACAGAGAACAGACACTTCTTGGAGAGTTAAATCCGTGAAATGTGTGTTTTGCCCAGGTGGTGGGAATAAGCCAGACTGTGAGTGTGAGAAGGGCTTGGGAATTCCCAGAATGTCAACCAAGGTGAGGAGGCGTGCTCTGAAGCGGCCGACTCATCAGTTCCACCTGCCTGAAGGAAGAGGGAGTGAACAGGAGGGGCATCAACAGACTGGAAAACTGATAAGGACTCAAGCAGGGAAGTTAACAGATCTCATTGAAACAGCAGCAAAAAAAAAAAGCAAATATTTAGGAACAAATTAAAAGAGATGTGCAAATCTTTTAGAATAAAACTACAAAACCTTTTGTAGTCTACAATGGGGTGGGGGTGGGGGGCACCTGCCCAACCATTTCCCTTCTTCTCTGAGAATCTCAATCACCAACCCTCAAGAGCAAGAAGAAGGTGGCAGGTGTGTATACAGACAGAGGAGCACTGGCTATTTACCCAACTGTGGGATAGGAAGGACTTCCAAAACCTGAAAGCACAGAGGAAACTACACAGGAAGAGATTCTTAAATTGGACTACATAAAAACAAGACACTCATGCATCAAACAAATAATATAAGGAAATTAAAATGCAAACGAAAAACTCAAAAATAATTTGTGAGGAACAGGACAGAGTTTCTACACTTTCTATAGGAAGAATCCTCACAAATCAAATAGTAGCCAGAATAGGCATAAGAGCAGACAAGTCATCGAGAAGACATACAAATAACCAATAAACTTTCTAAGTCTAACTGAGCCTCCCCCCCAAAAAAAATCACAAAGATTTTTTAAAATTTGATAAGCAGATAAATAGGTTTGATTAACAAAAAAAAAACAAACAAACAAAAAAGTCAGCCTGCATTCCCAAGGTACAGAGCACTGGGCTCTGAAACGTAGGCGGGCTTGCCTGGTGTCACTTACCGAAGTGCAGCCGGGCCCTTCTCCAGCCTGAAAGACATAAAAGGGATTGTAAACTCAAGGAGACAAGGAGAACCCCCAGAGGGCGGGAGTCGGACACCCAGAAAGTGCATCTCACCTGAGTTGGCTGCAGCTCTTTTCAACTCTACAAAAAAGAAACAAGCGGGGTGAGCTATCACTGAAAATACAGACTCAGCAGGAGAGAATTCGGTATGGAAGGACATGGGAAACTTACTCAGTTCACTCCGGAGTTTCTCTAAAGAATAAAAACAGTTTGGCCAATCAGAAGGAGGGCTTCCACATTTCCATCATGCTTGGGTCCCCTCCCAACCATATTCCCACATCAGATCCTCACTAGCAATACCCCGACCGTCCAGCCCCACCCCAGTGATCCCCAGAGATACTGCAGAGGGCCAGCAAATTCCCAAGTAAGCCAAACCTGACTACAACTCATTGAGTAGCACATCTCACGCATCTAGGTAACTACAATGTAATATATGTAGCTATTGTGAGAGAAGAACAAAATATAAGTTCATTTAAAACTATCATTGAGCTCTGGTTGGTGTTGCTCAATGATTAGAGTGTTAGCTCCTGCACCGAAGGGTTGCAGATTCAGTCATGGTCAAGGGCATGTACCTGGGTTGTGGTTTGCCCCCACCACACCCTGTGGGGGCACCTGGAAGGCAACCAGTTAATATGTCTCTCTCACATTGATGTTTCTCTCTCTCTCCCTCCTCCCTTCCTCCCTCCCATTCTTCTGAAAAGCAATGGAAAAATATCCTTGGGTGAAGATTAACAAACAAACAAAAACTATCACTGAATTTCTATTAGATTTTCTTGTGTACATTTAATCAAGGTAAAATAAAGTAGACATGTCATGTCTGAAAATTCTTTTTTTGCACTAAAGAGGGTCTTGTACGTGAGATGGAGAAGCGCTGCTCCGCATGTTCAGTTTAATGAGGACCCATCGCCTGGGATCCCACCTAAGGGAATGCCATGCCTGGTGATAAAAGGTCTTCCAGGTGGCTTCACCTACGGGAGCTACATCTCTTCCTGATTAACATTTCCCGCTTAGAGACTAGGACCTAGCGTTGGTCTGTGAGGTCCGAAAGGTTGGCGACCGCTGGACTAGGTAACTGTTGTGCAGGAAAGGGGAGCAGGGAATATTTGAGAAGAGAGGCCCTTGAGAGCCAAGAAATCTCCAACCCCATGGTTTAAAGCACCCTGACCCCTCTCTTCTGCCCCCAGGAAATGAAACTGAGACACCCATCCTAAAGCAAAGATGTTGGCAGAAGGAGGTCCGTGCCACGGAGGAGCAGAACTTACTGAGGGATTTATGGAGCCTTCCTGAAAAACAGAGAAAAAGGCCTGAGTGAGCAGATGCTCTGCTTTACCCCTGAGCCCAGGGAGGTTCATCACCCCACCCCACCCCAACACCCGTGGAAAGGATGACATGCCTCTCAGCTGCTAGTGCATCGCCTCCCAAAGGCAGCCTGGGGAAGCCAGTGCAGCTGGTGCCACTTTCCAAAGACCAGGCTGCCCAGGTCTGGCTCCTCCTTCCTTTTCCCTTCCTTTTTATCTGGTTTCATTTACGCTGTCTGTACGAGTGTTTCCATATGTTTGTCACCATGTGTACATGAGTGTGTGCCTTGCTGCCCTTTTATAACCTACTGTTTATAACATCTACAGCGAAGGCCTAGCACTAACTTGTGGACATGGCTTTCTCACTCTCTACAGTAATTCTCCTGAAGTCCTACGGAGAGATTCTCAGATTTGGAGATTCCAGATGGTTTGGGATGTATGTATATGCTTCACATACTGCCGGGAGCATTGGCCCCACCAGGGAATTGAAGTTATAACTTTGAGTCCACTGCCAAGCCCTGTGCTAAGGGCTGGGCATGTGTTAGGCATTAGGCACTGGAGCAATGAAGCTGGATATGATATGGCCCCTCAGGAGCTCTTGGTTTATGTTTATATCAATGTTATTAATCTGATTAATGTTATAATTATATAATGTTCACTCTATTAATGATTGATTATATTATGTAAACATTATATTATTTATATATAATAATGACATATTATATTTCCACTATTATTAGCCTCCATTTATTCTGTCCTGTTCTCATAATGATGTAGGCACTGAACCCCCTTGACAATGTAAGGTGCGTAGAATTATTGTTCCCAGGTCTGAAGCTCAGAGGGACATGGAAATTTGCCCAGGTCATCCAGTTAGCAAGTGGCCAAGGAGACAGGCTTCAAGGCCCAATGTGTCTGACTCCTAGTCAGAGGCCTTGGCCACTGCACCACGCTGTGCCTTCCACTCCTGGAGAGAGCAGCCAGAGGGCCCCTGCTGCGTGCACCCCCACACTTTCACCCGCGGGGAGGACAGGTAAGGGCGGAGAGGAGAGGCCCAAATCATTGAATGTGTACCATTTCTGAGCCAGTGACTTGTATTCTCAGCTAGATTTTAAGGGGCATAGACTGCCTGTTTTTTGTACCCTGGGTGTCGAACTTTCACCCTCAATGGCCCAGAACAAACATTCAGTTAATGAAGATGAAATGGCAATAAGGAAGAGGAGTACCAGGCACTGTAATAGAAGAGTTTTTTTCAAGCTGTCTCTTTAAACCCTGAAAACAATCGGGCAAGGGGATTTTTAATCCCATTTTACAGATGAGGAAACTAAAGGTCACAGCAGTGAAGCGACACATCCAAGGCAGACCAGTGACCTGACCAGGTGTCGCTGACTCCAGAGCCTGTGGGGCTCCCACTGTATCACACCACCTGTCTGAATGCAAATGTTGTTTGGATCCTTGAGATTCTCATACATCCCAGATAGCATATTCATAGACTTTAAATTGAATATAGGCCTTTTTAGGTGACTGGTGGAAAGGCTGATAAAAGGAGCTCATGATAATTCAGACCTATGACTTTTTACCATGAGCATCCCCTCACCCACTGCCACCTACCCCTACCCCCCTCACACTGGAAAGTAAATTCCAATAATATTAATGAAGAATATGTGTGTGTATACCTGAATAATTCTATATAATAAAAGGCTAATATGCAAATTGTCCCCTCGACCGGGAGTTCCACCAGGGGCAGGGCCGGCTGACCAACCACCTGTGGCCCCTCCCCTGGGCTAGCCCCACCCCCGATCACCCCCCCCACACCCCAAATGGGGGCAGGGCCGGCCTGCCAACCTCCTGCAGCCCCTCCCCCTGGCCAGCCTGGCCCAATGGGCCCTGATCAGGGCAGGCCAGCTGGACCCTACCCGTGCACGAATTCATGCACTAAACCCCTAGTGTATGTATAATAATAGACTGTCAGCATTTATGTAGAAGGAGAAGGAATATGTTATTTGTTCCCTACCCCTTCATATAATTACCTTTTTCTTTTGCATGGTCTGAGAGAAGAGTTTCTAGAGGGAGAAAAGTAATAATAAAAAATAAAAAATGAGATTCTGTGCCATTACCTTGAAGGTCCCTGATTCTTACTGATTTTACCTGCTTTTAAACCTGTTTACCTCTATCACCATGCCACCTCCCTAATCCAGGCCCTCATCATCTCTCATCTGGATGACAGAACTAGTAGCCCAAATTGCCCCCAGTCCTGTCTTGCTCCTTCTGGCCTCTTCCCAATACTGCAGTCAGAGAAAGCTGCTCAAAGCACAATTCTGATCAAGATATCCCACTCTCTGCTTTGTCACTGCCCTGGAGAGAAAAACTAAAGTTCTCCACATGACCTCCAAGGCCTCACAGGGCCTGGCCCTGCCTAACTCTGCAGCCTGGTCCCCTATCAGTGTCCCCCTCACTTCTGCACTGTGTTTCTAGCTGGTCTTTCTCTGTGGATTGTTTTCTATTCCCTCTCCCCCCCTCCATGCCTCCCCCTCCTCCAGATCAAATATCACTTCCTCTGGGGACTCTTCTCCTGTCCCTGAAGCTTGGTTGGTTCCTCCTGGTCATAATCTTCGCAGCCTCCAGAACTTCCACTCGTGGCATTTGTATGGTTGTACTTTTACATTGATTTGTGCAGTTATTTAACTCATGTAGACCTCCCTGGCCGGACTGAAAGCTCCCAGATGGCAAAGACTGCCTGCTTTGACCATTGTATTCCCAGCATTTAGTATAGTCCAGGGCACTAGTAGACAATTATCAATTATTTGTTGAATGAATAAGAGCTTCCCCCATGTTAGACCTACATGACTCGCACAGAATAAGATCAAGCAATGAGTCCGCAGACAAAATTCAACAAACATATTGAAAGACAAGCTATTACAAGTCAGAGTCAGCAAACACTGCCACCAAGGACAACAGATGTTGGGATTTTCTGGTATAGAATTTAGATTAGTGGACACTAGAGTCATAAAAATGAGTAAAACTGAGAAACATCCCCACCCATCCCAGGACACTTACCTACCTCCATCACCTGTTCATAGAGCAGCTTCTCTGGAAGCGGGAGAGAGAGACATCAGCTCAGCTTAAGGAAGAGCTTTTTCTAACAGGCAGAGTTGTCCGGGGACAACAAGCTGCCTGAAGAGGACTTTGCTCCTTGTCCCTGCAGGTCTGTGACCATTTGAAAGGATTAGAGGGTCTTCAAACCATCAGATAGGGAAAGGGGTGTTGGATTAGGTGTCTTTCTTTTTTTATATATACTTATGGATTTACTTAAATCATTTTATTTATTTATTTTTTTTAATTGTTTTATTGCTTAAAGTATTACAAAGGGTATTACATATGTGTCCTTTTTTTTCCCTGCCCTTGAGAATCCCCTGGCCTCCCCTACCCCCCGGATTAGGTGTCTTTCAAGGTGCCATACAACCTTGAGATCCTGTGAGATGCAATTATATTGATGGGAGTTTTATTCAATGGATAGAATTGGATTTTTTAAAATTAATTAGAGGAATGGCATGATCAGTTATTTTTAATTTCTCAAAAGTTGAGAATTCACAACTCTTCCCAGGAACTTGACCCAGTTTCTTTGATCTTCTCTGCATTGGGGGTCCCCAGAGCATTGTTCTACCAGACAATCTGCAGAGTCTCCAACCTATGGATAACCGCCACATCTATGTCTCCTTCCCCCAGCCTTTTCCTAGAGAAGTCACAGTCCTACTTCCTGCCGCCCCGGGCCCTTTACCACTTAGTTACCTTTTGATCGCTTTTGCTTCCAGATGAGGCCAATGCCCACCATGATGAGAAGGCCCAGGACAGGCAGGACCACAGCAAGAGCCACTGCTGCGGGGGAGATCCTCCCTGGAGATGGGGCTGAAACAGAACCACCAATGACCACCCTCAGGAGTTATCTCAGAGCTTCTTCCAGGCCAAAGACCCCACCTCATATGGGAGATGCCTCAGGCACAGCCCGACAGTCTCTGTCACCTCTAGGGAGAGACCTCCAGCCAAGACAGGTGAGGGTGTTTGCCTCTCTAAGTGCCTCAAACCCTGGATGACTCGGGATGACTTTAAACCGAGATGGTCATCTCTTAGGAGTGGTTTTGATGGTCCTGCCTGAAAACAATGTGTTAAACTCAGCTTCCCAATCGCAACCTCATCCTGCCCTATCATTCCGTGGGAAAGTGATCTTTGAAGAACTGGAGGTGCTTCCTCTAATCACCTGCAGCCTTCCCTGAGCACCACCTGCCTTCTGCTTCAAGTCCTCACTCTCCTGTGGAACAGCCATCAGCGACCCCTTTGCCCTGAGCTGTATCAGCGGGAGCAAAGCTACTTCTGTGGGGCTACCGCGGCAGGCCTAACGCCTAGGCAGGAGAAAGGAAAGAAGAAATAGACACAAGAATAAAGCAGAGGAAGCACTATGACAAGTGGCAGAGCTAAACTGGGCGTGAGTCCTCGCTCATCCTTCGTGGGACCCTACGCAGGAGACGGAGCCCCTCCAAGCCTGGCTCGTCATCTGTAAAATGGGGATTATAATAATCCCAGTCCCCCTGGGTTGTGACAGATTTAAAGAGAGAAGGATGTAAAGTGCTTAGCACCGATGAGAGGCAGTGGCTGTAGGAAGAGAGGAGAGGTGAGAGAGAGAGAAAAGAAGGGCTTAGCAGATGTCAGTGCTCCTTCTGCACCTGGGGCCCCAGGCCACACTCTTTCTTTCTTGGCTCCAAAACCACGCTCTCTGCCACACGGCTCCATGTTTCAAGGTCTTTAAAAGGTTCATAACCCCTTGGTGCATTAATCCTACTGCTAGGGACACACTCTAAGAAAATAATCAGAATCACTCCCCAAATTATGGGCAAAGTTGTTCACTGCACTGTTACAGGAAAAGTCTAAACCATTCAGGTATCAAGAAATAGGGCTTTAATTTTACTACGCTATACCCACACAACGAAATACGGTGCGGCCCTTTAAAATCTGTTGCAGAGAACTGCTTAAGGACATGGGCAAAAAATGGTCACGGCCTTGTAAGTGGAAGGGGAAACAACCTAGGCAGAAGAATACACATGTGTATCAATACACACTCAGAGGTGCACCCATGAAAGAAATTCTAAAGAAATGCCCCACAATGTTAGCAGTGGCTCTCTCCAATTTATAAAATCAGGCTTCTTTTTCTTTTTAAAAATCTCCTATTTTTTTTTTAAGTTTTCTACAATAAACATGCTATTCTTAGTATTTAAAAGATTCTTTATAAATTTTCTTCTTGGGCAAGAGTTTTCTCTGGAGCCACCAGGAGCTTCGAGCCTGTTTTCTGCCCCAGTTTTACCTGCTATGACCATCGCTGCTGTCTTCTCTTGGCCCAGGGCATCGTTGCGGATGGTGCAGGACACGCTGCCCACAGTGCTGTCCCTGACTTTGCTGGATACGGCTGTTTCGAAGAGCCCAGCGCGGTCCAGGGAAGGGGCCTGGGGCTCAGATGGAAGCACCCTGCCTTGAGGGTCTCTCCACTCGGCCCAAGGCCTTGGGAACCATCCCACCGACCTGCACACCAGCTGGATCCATCCAGCGTCGTAGCCCTTCACGTGGATGTAAGGGTCGGAGCCTAGAACTGGAAAGGAAAGCCGCTGGCAGGGCTTTGGCAAGATCCCAGTCCCGTCCCCGCCAGGGCGCTCTTCTGGCTCCCAAGGCGGCTCCGGGTGAGCAGGGGGCGGGCTGTTAATTGCTGTGAAGGCCTGCTCTCTCTCCCCACCCCACGCTGTTCACCGCAAAGGGACGAGAGTATCTGGCTGCACGCTAGTACCTTACCCCATCCACCTCTACCAGTCACCTCTCCCCGCCCCCGCCCCCCCGCCCCCCCTCCCCGAAAAATGACGAACCTGCCACCTGCAGGATCACGGTGCCCTCTCGACTCAGGTTTGCAATCCGGACCTGACATCGGTACGGCCCTCGGTCCTCCAGCCGCACGTGGCGGATCTCCAGCGTGACATTTCCCTCTTGCGTGTCTCTCTCCAGCGCCGTCCTCCCCTGAAATTCCGGTACCACATCTTCCTCGCGGACTTTGTCATCCCGGAACACGTGAACCACCTGGGAGCGCCCCCGGGGCAAGGACCGCAGCCACCGCACCTCGGTGAGCGTCGGGACGGACCAGAGCGAGAGAGGGCAGAGCAGCTTGGCTGTGCCCCCTAGCGGGGCCAGGTGGAACTGGCCGGAGTCCCCTGTGCGGTGAAGACAAGAAAGGGACAACGCAGTCTGGGAGGGATGCGAGCGTTCAGCAAAGGACGAAGACGGAGATCACGTGGGGAAGGCTCCTAGAGAGTCTGGGGAGGGCACTGGAAAGGACTGGGGTTACAACAGAACCCCCGAAGAAAGAAGGCCGTGGTCAGATGTCCCAGGCAGGAACGAGGTCAGGAGCTCCTACCTGACACGCGTATGGGCAGCTGGAGGAAGACGAGGGTGATGAGGCAGCTGGAGAGCCGGGAGCCAGAGGAACTTACGGTCTCCATCCGAACTAGGACAGACAGGCAGACACCAGAGAAGGTTCGTGAGCTTGATGTGGAAAAACTACCACCTAGGACGCGGGGCGGAGATGGAGGCTGCATAGCAGGTGCTCTGGAACCACCCGGACCAGAATTCAAGTTCCAGCTCTGCTACTTACCTCCCCGTAACATTGTGGCTTCACTTCCTTGGAACTCTCTTCCACCATCTTTAAAAAGGGTATAAAATTGCCTCCTTGCAGAGTTATTGTGAGCATTGAAGGAGGACAGTGCTCGACATGAAGGCTGGCATCATGGTTAAGTCTATAAATGCCGTGAGTGAGAGCCAGGGTGAGACACGGTGTGTGCCCTAGAAGGCACAGGGAGGAGTCTGGAAGATTGAGAATTTATATCTAGAACTAACCTGGTAAACACCAGGATAGTGACCTCTTTTTGCATTTAGGGTCCCAAGCCAAGTCTGGGAAATTCTCCAGGCCAATTTTCCACCCACAGTGGGGCCTGGAGCTCTTTCCTGCCAGCCTTCTCAGTTTGACTCTTTTTAAAAAAAATATATTTTATTGATTTTTTACAGAGAGGAAGGGAGAGGGATCAAGAGTTAGAAACATCAGATGAGAGAGAAACATCGATCAGCTGCCTCCTGCACACCTCCTACTGGGGATGTACTGGCAACCAAGGTGCATGCCCTTGACTGGAATCAAACCTGGGACCTTTTAGTACACAGGCCGACGCTCTATCCCAGTGATGACGAACCTATGACACGAGTGTCAGAGGTGACACGCGAACTCATTTTTTTGGTTGATTTTTCTTTGTTAAATGGCATTTAAATATATACAATAAATATCAAAAATATACATCTTTGTTTTACTATGGTTGCAAATATCAAAAAATTTCTATATGTGACACGGCACCAGAGTTAAGTTAGGATTTTTCAAAATGCTGACACGCCGAGCTCAAAAGGTTCGCCACACTGCTCTATCCACTGAGCCAAACTGGTTAGGGCTCAGTTTGACTCTCGAGAAACAACAAACCAAGGCAGTAAGGTCCCGCCATTTCATTATGAAGGCACCTATCTTACAAACTCAGGGTCTGGAGTTAGAAAGACCTGGGTTCAAGTCTCAGCTCCCCCAGGTACTAGCTCTGTGTCCCTGGAGAGTTGTACAACATCTGTGGATCTCCAGGTCTTAATCTATAAAGGAGGAACCTTCTTCACAGGGACTGTGAGGGTTCAAAGAGGGTTCAAAGGCATGTGAAGAACTTGCCACAGAGAACAACCAAGATGGCGGCAAAGGTAAACACCTGAACTTGCTGCTGCGCACAACCACATTAAAACTACAACTAAAAGACAAAACGAATACCATCCAGAACCATGGGAAGGCTGGCTGAGTGGAAATTCTACAACTAGAAGGAATGAGAAAAGCACATTGAGCCCAGTAGGAGGTGCAGAGGTGTGAAGTGTAGAGGTGCAGAGGCGTGCGTGAAAGGGGCTGGCAGCTGGGTACGCTGTTGTCTTTTTCAACTGGGAGGGAGATACAAGCTCCTGACTGCTCTGAAATCCAGTTCCGGGTGAGAATTTGGGGACCCAGACTCATACGGAGAGAAACTGGACTGTCTGGCATTGAGCTGGAACGTGAAGGCGGCTTTCTCACAGAGGTGCTTGCAGCGGTCATTGTTCCTGCACGGACCAGGGCCGTGGGACACAGACCCCAGGAACTCACTGAGGCAGAGCAGACTGGCAGCCATTGTGGTTTGCTCTGCCCTGGTGATTCCCTGAGACCCCACCCCACCCAATTTACAACCTCACCCAAGCTGTGTGCAGAGGCTTTTGCATATGAATGGCCTGGCCTTTCTCTGCCTAAAAACCTGGGCAGACTCAGTGAGTGCCAAAGCCCCACTGAAGCAAGTCCTGCTCCATAAGGATGTCTCCAGCACAGAAGTTCTCCCATTATAGACACAACTGGTCCTCACAGCCAATTGGCCTGGAGGTCAAGTCCTCCCAGTGATACCAACAGCAATCAAGGCTTAACTACAACAAGACTGTGCACACAGCCCACAAAGAGGTGCACCAAGAGTGTCCACTTCAGGTTATTAGGGAGGCTGAGCCACTGGGCCCTATAGGACACCTAGCACAGAAAACCACTCTATCAACACAGGAAAGCAGCCAAAATGTGGAGACAAAGAAACAGGTCACATATGACAGAAATGAAGGAAAGCAAACTACTGGATATAGAGTTCAAAACTACGGTTATAAGGTTACTCAAGAATCTTCTAGAAACCTCCAAGAAATATAGTGAGACCCTCAAGGATATGAAAAAGGACCAATTAAGCATACACTGACTGAAATAAAGAATAATATACAGAGATCCAACAGCAGACTAGAGGATCCCAAGAATCAAGTCAAAGATTTGAAATACGAAGAAGCAAAAAACACCCAGCCAGAAAAGCAAAAGGAAAAAAGAATAGAAAAATATACAGATAGTGTAAGGAGCCTCTGGGATAACTTCAAGCGTACCAACATCCGAATCATGGGGGTGCCAGAAGAGAGAGAGCAAGATATTGAAAACCTATTTGAAGAAATAATGACAGAAAACTTCCTCTACCTGGTGAAAGAAATAGACTTACAAGTCCAGGAAGCACAGAAAACCCCAAACAAAAGGAATCCAAAGAGGACCACACCAAGACACATCATAATTAAAATGCCAAGGGCTAAAGACAAAGAAAGAATCTTAAAAGCAGCAAGAGAAAAACAGTTACCTACAAGGGAGTACCCATATGACTGTCAGCTGATTTCTCAACAGAAACTATGCAGGCCAGATGGGAGTGGCAAGAAATTTTCAAAGTGATGAATAGCAGGAACCTACAACCAAGATTACTTTACCCAGCAAAGCTATCATTTAGAATTGAAGGTCAGATAAAGAGCTTCACAGATAAGAAAAAGCTAAAGGAGTTCATCACCACCAAACCAGTATTATATGAAATGCTGAAAGGTATTCTTTAAGAAGAGGAAGAAGAAGAAAAAGGTAAAGATAAAAATTATGAACAACAAAGTGACAACAAATACATATCTATCAATAAGTAAATCTAAAAATCAAGTAAATAAAAAAATCTGATGAACAGAATAAACTGGTGAATAGAATAGAATCAGGGGCATAGAAAGGGAGTGGACTGACAATTCTCGGGGGGAAAGAGGTGTGGGGGGGGTGCGGGAAGAGACTGGACAAAAATCGTACACCTATGGACGAGGACAGTGGGGCGGGTAAGGGCAGGGGGTGGGGTGGGAACCCGGTGGAGGGGAGCTATGGGAGGAAAAAAGAGGAACTGTAATAATCTGAAAGATAAAGATTTATTTTTTTAAAAAAGAAGAATTTGCCACAGCCCAGCTGGTGAGGCTTAGTAGTTGAACATTGATTGACCCATGAACCAAGAGGTCTTGGTTCGATTCCCGATCAGGGTACATGACCAGGTTGCAGGCTCGATCCCCTGTAGGGGGCGAGCAGAAGGCAGCTAATCGATGGCTTTCATCAATATTTCTATCTCTCTATCCCTCTCCTTCCTTTCTCTCTAAAAAAATCAATAAAAACACATTTAAAAAGAAAAAAGGAACTTGCCACAAATGCCTGGCAGAACAAGTGCCCAATAAATGTGCTGTTATCCACAGGCGGTGTGGGCACTGAGTACATTAACCACAGGGAAACCCTAAAGGACTCCTTACTCTAAGAGTCTTTCCCACCACCTTGACTGCCTGAAATTCCTATAGCAGGAAACAAATCTTTCATGTCACCATTGGGGAAGAACTATAATAAAATACTTCAGGAAGAGATCATCTCTTACATTCTCTCCAAGACTTCAAATCCTTTCTGAAGAGGAGGGGCTTGGTGAAAGTTATCAGGCCAGATCCCTAAAGGAAAAAGATGGGGCTTGGAGGAGGTGGGGCTGTCAAAGAGAGGTTGGGACATAAAGTGACTTAAGCTTTGAACACATTTCCAATTCTTTCAATTCTTTTTTTCTTGTGGCAAAGAGCACACTGGTTTAGGGATGTTTTGTTTTTATTTTACTTTTTTAAAATATGTTTTTATTGATTTTAGAAAGAGAGAAAGGGAGAGGGATAGAGAGATAGAAACATGAATGTGAGAAAAACACATCCATCAGCTGCCTCCTGCACACCCCCTACTGGGGATCAAGCCCACAACTCGGGCGTGTGTGTGTGTGTGGGGGGGGGGGGGGGGCGCAGAGTATCATGGGTTGAAACTCAACCACTGAACCAAACCCACTGGCTTTTTTATTTTTATTTTTTTAATTTTTTTCCCATTGGGCTTTTTTTATTTTTTAATCCTCTCCTGAGGATATTTTTTCCATTGATTTTTTTAAAAAGAGAGAAAAGAGGGAGGGAGAGGAGGGAGAGAGAAAAAAAACAACAACATTGACAGGAGCCTGGGATGAACCTGCAACCGAGGTACATGCCCTTGGCCGGGAACAGAACCCTTTGGTCTTAGGGTTCTGTTGCTCTAACCATTGAACAAACCAGCCAGGTTTTTAAAACAAACATGTTTTTGTTTTTAATCATGATTCATACAGCATACTTCTCTACTCCCCCAGTGTTGCAAATGGCCACATACCACTAGGACACAGTGAGGTTAGGATTATAGTTAGGATATATTTTTTTGCTTCAATCCCACTCATTTTCCTGCAGGTTGCCAGCTACTCAGAAACTGAACAGGAGAAGTTAGGTAAATGAGAAAAGCTCTCTACCTTATCAATTATTGTTGATGGTAGAAGTAGGCAGAGCCCAAGATCCCCTGGAGTTACCCCAATCCCCAACACCCTCAATTAAAAAGGGCTTTTGAAACACGCCCTGAGTAGACATGCCCAGAGTAGCACAGAGCTCCAAACTGAACTGGGGCTGCCTGAAATCAAATAAGAGGAGCCCTCCCCCGACCATGGCCCCATCTTCCTAAATTCGGATTGCTTATTGTGATTAAGAGGTCAGTCAGCCTGGGGCCAAGCCCCGGCCCTGCCATTGCCAGCTGTGTGGCCTTAGACAGTCTAGGTTACTCCTCCAAGTCTTCCCTCATTCACACATGAAATGGAGTTAATGATAGTACCTACTTCATAGATAGGACTCATAGAAAATACATGTGAAATGATTTGCACCAGATTCTAAGAATGAAAAGGCAAATGAAGTCTTTCCATCAGATTGTCACTCTGTGTGACAAGGGCAACTGAGGTGGTTTCCGCCAGGGAGTCTCCCTGAAGCACGTCATCAAGTCACTGTTAAGCAGCCATAGAGGCAAACCAACCGGGAGAGGATGACACCAGAAATGGACTTTTACTCTCTAGTCATCAGAGAAATGCAGACTAAGACCACAGTTAGATATGACTTTGTCTTCCCTGAAATTATCAAATATTAGAAAAAATAATACCCCGAGTTATTACACATGTGGGAAAATGACTCGCCCAGTGCAGATCAACTTTCACAGGGTAATTTAGCAATAAGTATCAAATGATTTATAAATTTGCAAAAGTTTTAATCCAGTAATTTTACTTCCAGAAAAGAATTTTATGGAAATAAATAAGGATGTGCATAAGGGTTTGATCGTGAGGATGCTTATCACAAAGCTTCTTATGAAAAGGAAAAATTAAAAACAACCTGAAAGTTCATTAAAATGGGAATGATTAACTAATAGCTGCACATTCTTGCAATGAAATACTACACAGCATTTCATACACACATGCTAAAACCATCTTTAAGAGCATTTGGGCCCTAGCTGGTTTTGCTCAGTGGACAGAGCATCAGCCTGCGGACTGAAGGGTCCTGGGTTTGATTCCCATTAAGGGCACATGCCTGGGTTGCGGGCTCGATTCTCAGTAGGGGGTGTGCAGGAAGCAGCCAATCAATGATTCTCTCTCATCATTGATGTTTCTATCTCTCCCTCTCCCTTCCTCTCTGAAATCAATTTTAAAAAATTATATATATATATATATATATATATATATATATATACATTTGGGAAGTTTTCATTGTAACCCAAACAGTAACTTGAAAAAGCTATGGATAGTATGATACAATTTAGGGAGAAGATGCTTAGCAAAAAGGCAAGAGTGTAGATAGTAAACAAGTGGTTACTTCTAGGGGTGAGGAAAAGCATTACAACAGAAGTCCCCTTAATAACTCCAAGCAACTTCAGAAGACCCTGCAAATCTACAAATGATCAGTCTGAAAGCACACAGCACAGGGCCTGGCTAATAGTAAGGACTAAATTAATGATAGCTATAATACCAATGATGATGACAATAATACTTGAATGAGAGTCTTTAGACAAAACTCACCCAGGCTCCTTCTCACTCTTCCCCTTTTGTGCTTCCCATTTCCCATTGCCTCATTTCGTCCTTTAAAATGTCTTGTGCCTGGCCAGCGTGGCTCAGTGGTTGAGCATCGACCTATGAACCAGGAGGTCACGGTCCGATTTCCCGTCAAGGCACATGCCCAGGTTATGGGCTCGATCCCCAGTATGGGCATGCAGGAGGCAGTCGATCAGTGATTGTCTCATCATTGATGTTTCTATCTCTCTCTCCCTCTCCTTTCCTCTCTGAAATCAATAAAAGTATGTATATATTTATATTTTAAAATGTTCTCGGGAGTAAGGAGAAAGGGGATAGTTTATCCAACGAACCTGAAGATCCTGAGAAAGTTAAAGGACTAAAAAGAATGAAGAAGGGGAAAGGGAGGAGCACTCACCACCTTTGGAATCAAGGGCCCTTTGTGCGGCAGAGCTGGAGTCTCCAAGCTGCGGAGCCTCCCTCCATCCATCCAGGGAGATCAGGCATCAGGCAGAGGGGTCAGGAAGGGCTCTGGAGGTGGGCCTGGGAAAAGCTCTCCTTTCATTCTAATGCCAACAGCCCTCACCCAGGGGCTCCCTCGTCTGTCCCACAGACTCCCTTCTAGCTGCCCCTACACACCACAAGTTCCGCCCTGCCTGTCTGCCCCTGATAAGGGAACAGAGCAAAGAGAGGCCTCCCTGAAAAAGTGAGGGAAACGCCAAATGCCACCGGGTGTCAGGGATCTTTGGCCCTCACACCCTTCCCCTCCCCAGCTAACTGCATAGCGATTCCTTTTCATAAGTTTTGACCCTAAAGCACCCTTTCTGAAAAGCTTGCTCCCACTTACTTTCCAAATCTGAGTAAAATTGAAGGTCGGTTTCAAAGACATCTACCAATTAGCCACCTTCTTGAACTCACTACCTTTATCTCCAGCTGCACCCCGACACGTGCTTCCTGACAAGCAAACGTGCTTACTGTCTACCAACCTGCGATAAACCCTTTCCTGCCTGTCTTGACAGCTTTCATAATATCCATAACTGTATATTCATAACATCCATAATTGTATCCTTAACAATGAATTAAAAAACAAAACAAACAAACGAAACGAAAACAGACTCATAGAAATGGAGACCAACGGCATGGTTACCAAAAGGGATGGTGTGGAGGGATGGACGAAAAAGGTGAAGGGGAATATAGTCAATAATATTGTGATAAATGCACACGTGACAAATGATTACTAGAATTAGTAGGGTGATCACATGGTAAGGTATAAAAATGTCACATCACTATATAGTACACCTGAAAGTAATATAAACAATATAAAATTGTGTACAAACTATACTTAAATAAAAAAATAAATTTTAAAAATGGTTCTTTCTGGAAAGGGCAATGAGATTGATGGGAGGGGAGAGAGAGGAGAGAAACTTTCATCTTTACTCTTCATGGTTTTTACAAGAAGCACATATCACATAATATTTCAATAATAAAATATATGTGGGGGAACCCCAAAGCATTATATACTTTTACTTGTTTTTCAACCTTATAAAAATGGAGCACATTACACCTAATTCTCTGTAATTTCCTTTTTTCAGTCAACATTCATTTCTGAGCCTAGCTGACACCTGTGGTGGCCCAAACCATGTCCCTCAACCCACTCGATTTCGGGGTAACTGAAACTTGCCAACAAGCTGCCAGCATGCCACCCCGAGGCCACAGCAGTTCTTTGCTCATCTCGCTCGGGCTCTCTACAAAACTTGGGAAGGCTGTTTGACCTGTGTGCAGCTCAGGAGTTCAGGAAAGTTAATACCTCAGGGGATCAACCTGCTGGGACAGGAGATAGAGGAAAGCACTCCAGCCTCGAACCTCAGAGGGACAGTTCTGAGCTGTATTCTTCACGACTCTGAGTTCCCATGGGAATGAGCACAGTAGCCCACAGTCATCAGTAGCTCAGTAATGCACATTTTATTGGTTTTTCTTCCTTTTCTTCTCACCATTTCTGATCCCTGGATCACTTCCTAAATATGGAAAGATTTGTCTCAAACACTCTGCTATGGGTGGAGTGCAAATTAAGACACTGAAATTCATCCAGACTCATTCACAGAGCTTCACTACATTCATTCACCATTCACCGCTGTGTGGTAGAACATTGCCTGGATATACCAACAGATTGTCCATTCCCTCCAGTACATCCATTCACCGCTGTGTGGTAGGCCAATGCATGAATATATCAACAGATTGTCCATTCCCTTGATGATAAAAATGTGGTTGTTTCTGGTCTTTTGCTTTTACAAACAGTGCTGCTTTGAACATTCTTGATCCATGTTTCATGGTTCACATGTGCAAGAATTTCTCTGGGAGAAATGATGAGAGAGAATCATTGATTGGCTGCCTCCTGCATTTCCCACACTGGGGATTGAGCCCAAAACCCAAGCATGTGCCCTGACCGGGAATCAAACCCTGACCTCCTGGTTCATAGGTCGACCCTCAACCACTGAGCTACACCAGTCTGGCTATGCTCTTTTTTAAATCTGATTTAAGAAGGCACTTAAGGTTTACCCTCTTAATCATTTTTATAGTCACACTGTTGTGCAACAGATCTCTAGGAATTTTCATCTTGCAAAACTCCTTATCCATTGAACATCTTCCTTTTCCCCCCTCTCCCAGCCCCTGGCAATCACCATTCTACTTTCTAGCAGTTTGACTATTTTAGATGTCTCATATAAATAGAATCAGGCGGTATTTGTCTATTTGTGAGGTTGTGCTCATTTTTAAGGCTTTAGATATGTAGCACTAAACTGATTTCCAACAAGTTGTGACAATTTACACTTTGAAATTGTGTGTCTAGACCACACCCTGTTTGCTTAGCATCCATCATTTGTTTCAAAAGAAACAAAAGTAATGGGCCTGAATATGTTTTCATTGTCTTACCTAGAATCCTGGCTGAAATTCTTGCTGGGGACACTTAGCTAGCTGTGTGACCTTGGACAAGTCACTTAACTTCTCCATGCCTTTGTTCCTCTATTTGTAAAATGGGGATAATAATCATATATTAGTATACATGTACATTATTACACAAACTTATTATGAGAAATACATGAGTTAAGAAATGTGAAGCTCTAAAAACAGTGCCTGGAACATAAAAAGCCCAGAAGAGAGGGGGCTATTATTGTTGTTAGTTGTTTTTGTTGTTGCACTGAACAGGGTTTCTGTTGTCAAAGCATTTACCTACCATTTTCTTCAATCCTTAATAATGTAATGAATGAAAAATGACAGCCAGCTTTTTTTTTTCTGGACTGCGAACGATTTCCTTTTTCAAAGCACTGTGGCAAACGGGATCTCACTTGATCTTCCTAATATTAAAACTCAGAAATCAATAAGACAGCAATCGCCATCCCGGCTTTTTGAATGAAGAAACTGAGACTTGCCCTAGCCGGTTTGGCTGGGCCTGCGGACTCAAGGGTTCGGGGTTCGATTCTGATCAAGGGCATGTACCTTGGTTGCGGGCACATCCCCAGTAGGGGGTGTGCAGGAGGCAGCTGATCGATGTTTCTCTCTCATCGATGTTTCTAACTCTCTATCCCTCTCCCTTCCTCTCTGTAAAAAATCAATAAAACACATTTTTTTTTAAAAAAAAGGAACTGAGACTCAACAAGTTACAATTCTAGTCCCAGGTTTCAGATCTCACCCTTCAAAGCCTAGCAGCTGTCCCACAAAATATTTCCGGGAAAAAACTTTTGTTAAACCGCCTCTGCCCCCTCTTCTCCCCGCGCCCGCACCCCCCTGCCCCTCTGCCCCCCCAGCCCCAGCCCTAGCCCTAGAGCCGACGCAAGGCATGCAGATAAGTCCTCTGCGCACGCGCGGCCTGCCTGAGGGCGGGGCCTCGGAGAGCGCCGGCCCCGCCCAGGCCCCGCCCAGTCTGAGGCGCGGCGCTCGGGACTCCAGGCGGGGAGGTAGGGAAAGGCGCGGATCCCCCTCGTGGGGCGGTGTCCGCGACGTGGCGGGGCCCCGAAGGCCTGATGCCGGGGAGGGAAGGTGCCGATTCCCGAGCGCCTTCGCCCCCGCCGCCATTTTGCAGCCGGAGCCCGCAGCGGTGGGAGGGGAGGCTCCCGTGGGGCCGGGCCGCGCGGGGCTGCGGGGGGCGGGCCGGGCGGCGGGGGGCGGCAGCTTGGCCGGCGCGGACGGCGGAGGGCGGGGCCCTGGCGACCGGGCTGGGACGCCGCTGTCCCCGGGCAGAGGGGGGGAAAGCCCTGGCTCGAAGGCTGGCGACGGCGCGAGGCTCGGGCCTCCCCCTACGGGACTGGGGCTGGCGCGCCCCAGTCTCTGGCCGCGGTGTCTTCATGATGACAGCAGCCCCCTGTCGGGAACAGCGCGCACCCGTGTATGAAACGCTTTCACGTGGGTTTCCACGGGGTCCTCACACGGGAGCTCAGGGAAGGAGGCCAGGGAATGGACTGTTGTCCCATTCTGCAGACAGAAAACCAAGGCCCAGAATGGGGAGATGTGCGTGGGGACGCCCAGCGAGGTGGTGGCGGTGGGAGACAGGTCTTGCTCCTCCAAGCGCAGCCCCCCTTCCATCCGGCCACTCCGCCGCACCTGTCAGAGGAAAGGGCGGAGCTAAGGGATTAGTTAGGGCGGCCAATGACTGGCAATTCTTTATTTTTTCCCCTCCTTTCCTTCTGTGCCCTCTTTCTGTACCACCCAGGTCAGAACTAAGAAGTATTCAGAAGCCAAGTCATGGATCCACCTGCACGTAAAGAAAAGTCCAAAGTTAAAGAACCTGTCAGCAGAGTTGAGAAGGCCAAGCAGAAATCAGCCCAGCAGGAGCTGAAGCAAAGACAGAGAGCAGAGGTGAGGTTGAGGAGGGGGCCTGCATACCTGTCATCTGCTGGAGGTGACGCAGAAGAGAGAAATCGTCCGCCTGTGATGGGGAGCCCCGCCTGCCTGCAGGCAAAACAGGCGTCCTCCAGGTTAGAGAGATGATCGTCGAGGGCCAGGACGGTGAAGTGCCAGCCCATGGTGGCATGCCACGTTAGTGTAGGGTCTCCAGGTGACTCCTGGGGCAGAGGTTTGTGCTAGGGACCCGAGGGAAGGGAGAAAGGAGAAAGAAAAGGGACATGTGAGGGCGGGGTCAGTGAGAGAGCACGTGTCAGACACCCCAGCACAGACGTTCTACCCCCACCGGTGTGTCCTTTGGTCCGTCAACACTTACCATCAGCTTGTGAATAAAAAGTTGAAACTGTCGCCCATAACCACCTGAGCCACACCGGCCAGGCCGGTATTACGTTTTTTCTAGAATTATTTGTCTTCTTGTTTGTGACCATTTTCGTCACTGTGGAATTCCACTTTCCTTAAAGATTAGAGGATTTTATCACAATAAAAATGTTTTTATGAAAAAAGGTTATAGGATCATTCTGCTTACTATTGATTCTAGTCCGTTTCGATCATTTTACTTTCTAGGAATTTATTTCATTTACCTTTCCAAACTTATTGACACCAAGTTCATAATGTTTGCTGTAATCTCTGTTGCATCAGTATTTATGCGGTGTGTGGTTTTTTTAATTCTAATAGTATTGTTTGTGCCTACTCCCTGTTTGTCTTGGATCAGTCATGTCGGAGGGTTGCTTTAGCATTTTCAGAGCCTTTTGGTGAGCCTCTCTATTGTGCCTCGGGCTGCTTTTCCATTAAGTCTGCTGTTATCTTTTATGTGTCTCACTTCTCAATTTCTTTATTTGCCCCTTTCTTGTCTTTTTACTTAATCAAGAGTTATTTTCCCTAAACACAAACATTCCCTTCATTTATTTTTGTTCTACAAATCGGGAAGTTACATGATGTGTCTGTTCTGTAGTGGACCGGTTGAGACTACAAGGACAAACAGAGATGAGGACTAAGGTAGAGGCCCTGCTCTTCACCTTAGAATGTATGTTGCAGTTTTTGTTCCAGCCCACTGTCTGTCCTGGGTCCCTTCTCACTGATGTAATAGATGCCTCCTATGTGGCCTGTCATCTCTCCTCCCCCCACTCCATCCCTCACATGGTCTCCAGTTCTCTTTCCCAAAGCCCAGATATAATCGGGTTGCTCCCCTGCACACCTATCTTTGGTGGCTCTCCAGAGTCGGCCAGATAAAGTCCAGGTTCCTTGGCAGAGCATTTAAGTCCCTGACATACTCTTCTTGCTTTCTCCAGTTCCCCAACCTCCTATATAACATCCTTCATATGAGCATACTTGGAGTTTCCAGAATTAATCCTGTACTTTTCCATTATATTTACTTAATCATAATATCCCCCGTCCCCATCACCTATCAAGTCCCTTCCCCAGACTCTATCTGTTCAAATCCCACAGATCCTTTAAAGGCCAGATTAAGTCACCTGCTTCACTGCTTTCCTGATTCCCCAAATGGAATGAATATCTGTTTCTCCTGTTCCCTTACTGGTGCAGTTCCGGCACTTTCAAGTGGCGCCGCCTGTTGTGTCTGAAGATAGGTTGAGCAGCTGCCTCCATTGCTAACACATCTTTTTCTCCCCTTAGATTTATGCCCTTAACAGAGTCATGACCGAACTGGAGCAGCAGCAGTTTGATGAGTTCTGTAAACAGATGCAGCCTACTGGAGAGTGAGCCACCCGTGTTCAAACCAGATGGGACCCCTGAAGCTTTGTCTGCGAGCTCAGTACCAGTTTTAAGCTGAGGTGGCCCATGCGGAGCCTGACAGAACTAGACAAGAAGGCATTTGTGTTATTCCTAAAACTGGATAAATCTGAACTTCCTATATGTAACTTCTGCTTCACTGGTTCCTCCAATTTGAATTGGCCCAATGCTTGCTGAAGAAACTTGTTTTATTCTCCTAAGATAATACTCTTATTTTTTAAACCTTTTTCTATTGTTTGAGAAAAATCAGTGTTTCTTGTGAAACTGTAAATCTCCAAAAATACAAATAAAATGTGCGTTTGCTCATACTTTAGTTGGGGGTGCCTAGCCGTAAGAAATGGATCAATGTTATAAGAGAGGAAAAGTGAGGTAAGCAGAGGGAACCCTTGCTCCTTCAGGAGGGGGGGTGGAAGAGAGCGGGAGAAAGATTGTGGCTGCTTCCAGTTCTCATTCTTCCTGGAGCTGAAACTCTGCAGTCCCCTGATCCTCCGTTTGTAGCCACACAGTGTAAATCTGTGCCCCTCTACTCCCCGATGAGCTGCTACTCAGGGTCAGAGCTGGAAGCCAGGGTCCTCTCACCTTGCAAGTGTGGACAGCTAGCAGCAGGCCTGCACCAGCAGGAGAAGAGGGCAGGCATTGCTTTTTCATTTGGCAGTGACTTCACCAGGCCTAGAAACGGATTTAGGATGGGGATATTCAGGCTGGAATGTCGGAGCTCATGGATGTTTGTAAGATTCGTACTACATTATACTAACATTGTATATAGCTCTCTAGAATGTGCTACTAAATCAATTCATCTCCGAAGTAAACCTTTTTGAGTGCCAGGTATTGGCAGACAGCAGAAATCCAAAAGCATGTTTATGAAGGAAGTTACAATATAGTGAGACACAGACATAGTCATCTAATTCTGCAAAAACATGTATGATAGAGAGATGAATAGAGAGCAGTGGGGAGGGAGAGGGACTGTGTTCCTGTAGAGCCAAATCAGAGCAATGTGGACTTCTCTGGATTTTTATTTTTAAATCCTCAATTCAGTTTGAAAGCATATTTGCCATATACATTGTTCTGCAAACTTCAAGAAGTTAGTCCTGAGGTACAAGTGCTCTGGTGCCCAGCTGAGGAAAAGGTGGACAGCCAGCAATCCTTTGTATACCATCTGGAGGTAAAAGTCAAGAGAGTGCTGGGGTTTGCTGCTTTTAGCAGACCTATGTTCTTTTTTGAGGTGTAACTTTAGGGTTCCATAGATATTCTTTATTTCTATTCACTTTGGATTTTAGAATATGAATGGCATTTTGAATATCTAGAGTTTAGTACTATAGACCTTAGGAAAAAAGCATATAATGAGGGCCTAGAATCCAAATGATCCTTAAAGCTTACAATATGACTAATCTCTAAATGAAGCAAAAGGCAGAAGCTTTGTTGAAATAATTACAGAATTTCAAATTGGGCAACCTGATTGTCCTATGACTAGCTCTGCTTTATGGAGCCAGAGTATGTAAATTCATTGCAGCATTATTTATAACTAGAGGCCCGGTGCACAAAAATTTGTGCACTGGGGGGGGGGGGTGTCCCTCAGCTCAGCCTGCCCCCTCTCACAGTCCGAGAGCCCTCAGGGGATGTCCTACTGACAGCTTAGGGGGGAGCGGGCCTAAGCTGCAGTCTGGCCTCCCTCTGCGGGAGGCCACCAGGCTGATCAGGGGAAGGTGCCGCCCCCATCACCCCGCTGCTGCTGCCACTGCCACTGCCACTGCTGGCCACTTTCTTTCTCTTTGCCTCTCTCCCTCCCTTCCACTCTCTCTAAAAATCAATGGAAAAATATCCTCAGGTGAGGATTAACAAAACAAAACCAAAAAAAAATAAGAAATACCTTAGTGAACTGAGTCCTACCCCATTACTGGATCAATACCAATTCTGATGAGTTTCCTTTCCAAGGGATTAATCTTAGTGCAAAAGGTCACACAACTGGTTATAGAGCTGGAATGCAAACCTGGCTCAAAATGAGCTTGGAAAAAATTCTGTTCCATCCGACATGAACAACTGTTGTCCTGAAGGGGTTCAGATCCCTGAATAAAGGGGAAGAAGGGAAGGCTGCTGGCCCTACTATGGGCTGTTCTGGTTTGAGACACCATGTATCTACCACAAGCACAACACAGGAACAAGGAAAGATTTAGTGAGGATAAGGCCCAACAGGCTGGCACAAACCACACAGAAGCCAGAAGGAGTGGGAAGAGCTGTTTAGTTTCTTAGATGCGCTTCTTGCCTAAGACACTCTGTCTTGCCCCACAGAACATCTGGAAAGAAGATGTAGGAGAGAGACCACATCAGGCAATAAAAAGCAATTATTGAGAATGGAGAAAAAAACAGTATGATGACACCTGGAAGGAGAAAGAAATACAACACTCAGTTTTTATGAAGCTTTCTTACATGTATTTCCCACCCTCTCCTCTCTCATCCCCACTCACCTCCAAGATAAACTATTTTTTTCCAATTCTCAGATTCCAGGATTTCATCATGTGGGTAGTAGCTCTGGTCCATCATGAATAGAATCATAAGTGAGGCCATGCAGGAGAGAATGAACGTGTTGCCTTTGGTCAGAAGGGAGGTGGAGGCCAGAACACAGGAAGCATAGGGGCAGGGTAGACCCTTGTATGTGAAGGAAAGGCCGCCTGGGGAAAGAAAAGATGGGGATTAGCTGTTTCCTGTTGATCTCAAGGTATCTGCATGAAGCAAGCCCCTGTCCCTTTGGGTTTTCCCTACCCCTCACTCCAAACCCCCTTAATCTCAGGACAGTAGCAGGCTGTAAAGCATTTAGCTATTCATGGAGATGGTGCATGGGCTTTGCATTGGATCCCCAAGGCACTAATAAAGCAGACGGCTAGGACCAGGGGTGTGCCTTGGCCCTAGGAAGCCTCTGTAGACGGGCCCTAGATCTAGGCTGCATCTGCACTCCCTTGCGTTGGAATCTTAGGCAATTGCCTTTGCCAGAGCTCCGTATCTCCATCTGTTTTAGGAAACTGGAGTACAACCTCTGGGTCTAGAGAGTCTAAATCCATGTGCTTCATCCAAAGGTTACATAGTGAGAAAAAGGCATAGCTGGCCCAAGAATGAGGGCCCTAACCTCCCCCGCCACCCCCCTCCCCCCCCCCCCCCCGCGCCCCGACCTCCTCAGACTAGGGCTCTTCCAGTGCAGCCTCCAGCCTCCAATGGGTCTGGGGCACAACAGAAGGAAGAGGGACTTTATAAAAAGAAGGAGAGGAGTCAGTTACTGCACTCAACAGTTCCTCCCCCTCCATGGTTCCCAAGCTCAGACATAAGGCTGGGTTTCACTCACTAGCTGAATAAAAACACAGGCGGAAAGAAGCAGCTAACACATAGATGATGGCCAGGAACCCATTCAGAGGCCCATCCACGCCTAGGAGCAGGGCTGAGGCCAGGCCAAAGGTGGTGAAGACAGCGAAGTCATTCAGTTCAGCTCCTGCTCCAGAATGCCAAGGTTAGAACTTACACTTATGCATCCTGTACATTTGTCCCCTCTGGTGGGGGTGCTGGGATGGTGACAAGCACCGTCTGAGGTCCCAGGAGGTACCATCTATTCCCCTGGGTGTCTATAGATCAAAGACTGGTCTTATTCTGGCTCCACCTTAGAATGACCATGTGGCCTTAGACAAGTCTTTCCTGACCCAGGTCTTAGTTCCACCCTTTAACATGCAAGGATTGGACTACAACTGGATACAAATTAAGAAAATATGGAACAATTTTTTCAAGCAAAATCTGACACAAAAATATTTTTTTGATCAACTGCTCTGCTTGGAGTAATTTTTCATTTCCCCTCTCTCCCACCATCACAACCACCATTCCCACTCCCAGTTCTTGGATTGGTTCTGAGCAGGGATTCAGGGGAGACAAGACAACTGAAAGCCAGGCTAAGGATAACCAGAGATCAGTAAGCGAGCCAGCAAAGGAGCTAGATCTAGGCTGAGGGGCTCCAGCTCCAACTCTAGGGTTGCTTCTACTATACTCAAGGGATATAAACAGGACTGGTGACTGATAAAGGCCTGTGAGTGTTATACGATGAAGGAGCTGACCTGACATGGGAGCTCCTGGGGTCAGGGTTTAGGGGTCTGAGGCCTGGACTCACCTGATTTGGAGCAGATATTGAAATGTCTGGTGATTGTCCTGACTGCCATGTCCATTAGGAAGCCGATCAGAAGCATCCAGGAAGCACAGCTGGATTTCCTGGTGTGGGCCCAAACAGGACAGCTTTCATAGACTCCACTGGACAACCATTTCACACACCTCCAGTACACTAATACACTTCCTACATTTGCACACATACACACCCCTGCAAGTTTCCCACATTCACATCCTTTCTGATATACACAGCTTTATATGCCATGCACATGTGCATGCACACACACTCACACGCACTTACATTCCTTCTATTCTCTCAACCCACAATCTTGAAGTGGTGCCCAAACCTCCTAGGTTCGTGGTCGGCAAACTGCGGCTCGCGAGCCACATGCGGCTCTTTGGCCCCTTGAGTGTGGCTCTTCATAAGCCTTAGGGTAGTACCCTAATTAATTACAATGTACCTACCTATATAGTTTAAGTCAAAAAAATTTGGCTCTCAAAAGAAATTTCAGTCATTGTACTGTTGATATTTGGCTCTGTTGACTAATGAGTTTGATGACCACTGTCCTAGGTAATCACTAAGGTCCCTTCCAACTCTAAGTTTCAGGTATATTCAATGGCCCAAGGGTCTTAGGTTCTAGCCCAGCCTCTGCAAGTACGTATATTACTGTGAATTCTCAGAGAAATCACTCCCCTCTTTCTCTAGGCCTTTTTGTTCCTCCATCTGTAAAATGAGGGGTTTGTACCAAATGATTTCTTTAACACATATAATAGTAGGCCTATTCGTATTATCTATTTCTCCTACTGTGAGTTTTGGTAGTTTAGATCTTTTAAGGAATTGGTCCATTTCATCTAGGCTATCAAATTTGTGGGTACAGAGTTCATAATATTCTTTTTTTTTAATATATATATTTTTTATTGATTTTTTACAGAGAGGAAGGGAGAGGGATAGAGAGTCAGAAACATCGATGAGAGAGAAACATTGATCAGCCGCCTCCTGCACACCCCCTACTGGGGATGTGCCCGCAACCAAGGTACATGCCCTTGACCGGAATCGAACCTGGGACCCCCTCAGTCCGCAGGCCGACGCTCTATCCACTGAGCCAAACCGGCTACAGCATAATATTCTTGTATTATACTTTTAATGTTCGTGAGATCAGTAGTGATGGCTCCTCTCTCATTTCTGATATTGGTAATTTGTGCCTTCTCTTTTTTTCTTGGTTAGCCTCGCTAGAGGCTTATCAATTTTATTGATCTTTTCAAAGAACCAGTTTTTTGTTTCATTGATTTTCCCTATTAATTACTTGTTTTCAATTTCATTGAGTCTGCTCTAATTTTTATTTTTTACTTCTTTTTCTTACTTTAAGATTTAATTTGCGCATCTTTTTCTAGTTTCCTACAGTGGAAGCTCAGGTTAGTGATTTTAGATCTTCCTTCTTTTCAATTTTTCTAAAACTATTTTTAGAGAATGTTAGGTTTATAAAAAAAAATTAAAAGGAAAGTGCAGAGTTTTCCCATATTTCTCCACCTCTCACATATGCATAGTCTCCCCATTATCAACATCACTCACCAGAATGGTATATTCTGTTTCTTGGTACATAACCAAGGATGAACCTACATTGATGCATCATAATCAGCCAAAGTCCATAGTTTACCTTAGGATTCATTCTTGGTGGTGTACATTCCATGGATTTGGGCAAAGGTATAATGACATATACCCATCTTTATAATATCATAAAGTAGTTTCACTCTCCTAAAAATCCTGTGCTCTACTGATTCATGTCCTCCCCAAGTCCCCTATCCTTTCTGGCAACCACTGATCTTTTTATTCTCTCCATATTTTTTTTCCCGACTATGTAGCCTTTCAGATTAGCTACTTTCATTTAATAACATGCATTTAAGTTTCCTCCATGTATTCTCATGGCTTCATAATTCATTTCCTTCTTGCACTAAATAATATTCCATTGTCTGGATGTACCACAGATTTTTTTTATCCATTCACCAAGTGAAGGACATCTTGGTTGCTTCCATGTTTTGGCAATTATGAATAAAAGACCATAAACATCCAAGTATAGATTTTTGGGCATAGTTTTCAATTCATTTGAATAAATACCAAGGAGTGTGATTACTAGGTCATATAGTAAGAGTATGTTAGTGTGTAAGGAACTGCCCAACTATCTTCCAAAGTGGCTGCACTATTTTACATTCTCACCAGCAACGAATGAGAATTCCTATTGTTCCACATCCTCACCAGCATTTACTATTGTCAGTGTTCTGGACTCTGGCTATTGTAATAGGTATGTAGCGGTATTTCACTTGTTTTACTTTATATTTTCCTGATGACATATGATGTTAAGCATCTTTTTAATTGGGTTATTTTCCTATTGTTAAGTTTTATAATCCCTTATCCAATTTATCTTTTGCAAATATTTTCTCCCAGTCTGTGGCTTGTCTTCTAATTCTCTTTGCTTCTTCTTCTTTTTAATCCTCACCTGAGGATATGTTTTTATTGATTTTAGAGAGAGGAAGTGAGAGAGAGTAAGAAATCAATATTCGAGAGAAACACCAATTGGTTGCCTCCTGTGCTCCAACAGGGATCGAACCCACAACCTAGCTATGTGCCCTGACTAGGAATCAAACCTGCAATATTTCGGTGTACAGGATGATGTTACAGCCAACTGAGCCACCTAGCCAGGCCTGCCTTCTAATTCTCTTGATGTAGCCTGTTGCAGAGCAGATTTCTCTTTTAGTATATGAATGTAATGCTATGAATTTCTGTCTAAGTACTGCTTTTACTGCATCTCACAAATTTTGGTAAGTGATACTTTCATTTTCTTTTAGTTAAAAATATTTTTTAATTTCTCTTGAGCTTCTTTTACTCATATATTATTTAAAACTGTGTTTAACCTTTACGTATTTTGAGATTTTCTAGTTATCTGTTATTGACTTCTAGTTTAATTCCATGTGGTCTGAGAGCATATTTTATAGTTTCTATTCTTTTAAATTTGTTAAGGTGTGTCTCATAGCCCGGAATGTGGTCTATCATGGTGAGCTTGAGAAGAATATGTATTCTGCTGTTGTTGGATGAAGTAGTCTATAAATATCAATTGGACCCAGTTGATTGATAGTGCTATCAGTTCAACTATACCTTTACTGATTTTCTGTCTGCTAGCTCTGTCAATTACTGACAGAAGGGTGTAGAAATATCCAACTATGATAGCAGAGCCATCAATTTCTCCTTGCAATTGTATCAGTTTTTATCTAATGTATTTTGATGTTGTAAATGACTCCCAAGAGCTCTTTCAGATCCAATATTTGAGGAGTCCATGCTTCTGTCCAGCACATGCTCCTGGACCCCTCTGAAAGCAACCACCACAATCTCTGGCAAGCCTGCCCTAGGAGGCCATTCCCAAGTCTGCACTCTGACTGCAATGCTTGGGTGGCCCAGTAGAAGGAAACAGAAAGCCTGACCCCAGACCTCAGCTGTCCCCAAACAACCTCATCGTTTCCTTTGTTTAGACCTATACCTATGTGTTTAAAGGAACTGGGCCCATGATAATAACATAAAAAACACACTCCCAGAAGATTAGGCTAAATTAAGAAAATAAAGATTTTCTGCTGCAGGTATGCCTCACTTTATGAGACTCCCTAAACCCAGACTTAGAGAATCATAAAATTTTCAAACTGGTAGGGAACTTAAATATCATGAGACACAAATCCAGAAAAGCCATCCACTGATGATTATAGAGATTCAAACAGATTAGGAGGATGTTATTTGCATTATAAAGGATTTATCTATAAAGAGCCAATTTGCCAACGCATTGAAATATGACTCAATTTATAGAAATACCATTTGCTTACAACTTTTTGAGACCCATATACATGTCTCAGATTTTCCAGAGCACTGTTAATTTTTTTTTTTTTAATATATTTTATTGATTTTTCACAGAGAGGAAGGGAGAGAGATAGAAAGCCAGAAACATCGATGAGAGAGAAACATCGATCAGCCGCCTCCTGCACATCTCCCACTGGGAATGTGCCCACAACCCAGGCACATGCCCCTGACCGGAATCGAACCCGGGACCCTTCAGTCCGCAGGCCGACGCTCTATCCACTGAGCCAAACCGGTTTCGGCGAGAGCAGTGTTAATTTTAAATATTCCACCAGATCATGTGTTCTTATTTAAGAATTTAAAAATTTGAATGGTAGTGTACCTACCCAATAATTGTGTAGCAAGCATGTCAAATGCGCGGCCAGCAGCTGGCGGCCGGCCAAGGCATGTGCCCTGCCAGCCAGGAGTTTGACATGCTTGGTAAAGGCTACCAAAGCAGAGCCTCCTGATTTTCTCAAAAAACCATTCTAGACTGCCATATCTGGAAGGAACTATAGCGATCATAGTGTGAGCTCCTTGTTTTAAAGATGGAGAAACTGAGGCTCAGAGATGTGACCTAGCCAAGGTCACATACTAGGTTGACGATAGAACTGAAGCTAGACTCTTGGCCCCTTGACTCCCAACCTGCCACACTTTCTTCTGCCCCCATTTGATCTCCATGTCTCAGTGCCCGGCTCTCTAGATTTCCCACTTCTGTCTTCATGCCCATGGCTGAGACCTTGCTGGGCCCCAGACCTACTTGCTGAGGCTGCAGAAGATGGAGAAGAGCCCCATGATCAAGTTGGCCAGCGACAAGACATTGGCAACATCTTTCCAGGAAAATTCATTCATCTGGAGGTGACTCTGGTCCTTGGTCAGGAAGAAACTGGCGTACTAACCTATGGCCCAGAGAAGAGGGGCAATGGATTCCCAAGGTCAGAGTCCCAAAAGAGTCTCCTAAGAACCAGGTAGCTCCTGTTCCCCTAGATTTTCTCCCAGAACTTCACCCTCCAAACACTGTTCCACTGGCTGGGAACGAGGCAGACAGTAAGTAGATGGAGGAGACACAGGAAGTAAAGACGAAGGAGTTGAAGCTGAGTGTCTTGGGAAAGCACAAGAGCGAAGCAAGTGAACCAGCACAACCATAGTTCCCATGCCTCTCTGACTACATCCCTTACCCCACAGTACAAACCTCCCTCTAGCCATATGCTGACCCTCATGGCACCCCATGACCCAGGGTACAAAAGTATGGGCCCTTCCCCCCTTCTGAGCTCTTTGTCATAGATGAGACTTTTTTTTTTTTTAATTACAAAGCTATTTTCAATACTTTGATGAGCCCCACAGGAATAAAAAGCACTGGAAAGGGGTAACACGCACACCCCAGGAGTGGCCCAGGGGAGAGAGGCTACCTGAGGGGAAGGAAGCACAACAGGGGCCCACTGCAGATGCAGCCTCCTCTGTCCTGCAGGCCACGCTCACGCCCTCAGGACAGGACTGCAACTGAAGTGCCTCAAGGTTCTGGATCTGACAGGCCCCAACCAGAGCAGCAGGCCCAGCTCCAACAGGGGAAGGAAGAGGTGAGAAACAAACAAAATGAATGTGTATAGCATAGACTATTTCACAAGGCGCTTTCACTGTGTGCTCTCTTCTGATGCTGACGATTTCAGGAGACAGTGCTATCGTTCTCCCCATTTAATCCTCACTCATTTTTTTCAATATATTTTTTATTGATTTAGGGGAGGAAGGGAGAGGGAAAGAGAGATAGAAACATGAATGATGAGAGAGTCACTGATCAACTGCCTCCTGTACCCACCCCACCCCCCACACTGGGGATGGAGCCTGCAACCCAGGTATATACTCTGACTGGGAATTGAACTGTGACCCCCTGGTTCATGGGTCGAGGCTCAACCACTGAGCCACGTTGGCCAGGCAAATCCTTACTCATTTTAGAGGTGAGGAAGCTGAGACTGCCTCCACTCAACATCTCTGTACAGTCCCAGGCCCTCTGGTCTGGATAAGAGCTAAGACAATCATGGTCCTTTCACATAAACACTGACACCAAGATGTCAGAGGCTGGGAAGGACTGGACTTGCAGTTTGGGACTGGGAGTTTATCAGGGCAGCACTGTGGGTTCACTGTTCCCACAGGCCACCCTTTCACCAAGGGTGTCAGTGACCACATCACCAAAGCCACTGGGACTCCTCAGACCTTCTCATGCCAGGGCCACTGAAAACCTAAGACTGGAAACTATGTGAGCCAGAATTATAGGAGAAGAGGGGAGGGGGCAAAGGACTGGCTGTACACTCCCTCCCCCTGAACCCCTTCATTCTGGTCTCTCCTGGGCCTCAAGGCTGACCCCAGCAAACCCAGACACTTCTATCACAGCCTAGTCCACTGTTGCCTGGAAGAGCAGCATTCCAGCATCTCCGCCTTTCACTGGCAGTCAGCAGGTGCCAATTATTAGACACACCTCATCTTTACTAGTTCACTATTTTTTAAAATTGATGCGCGGTTATCTACTATGTTATTACTTTCATTCACAAAACACTTTCACCTCTGTGGTTTTCATTGGCCCCGTGAGGTCTACCAGGTAAGGATCACTATCCCTACTTGCCAGATAAGGCAAAGAAGACACAGAGGGGAAGAACTTTGCTCAAGGTCACTGACACCCTTTGGAAGTGACAGACTAAGACTTAAGACTTCTATAAGGTTCCTCTGTATTCTGCTGTCTACCAACCATCAGGACCAAGCATACTCGCCGTAAACTCAGACTGAGCTAGGTGCTGGGGAAAACCCTTGGTCCTTGTCTCCATGGAACTCCTAGGCTATCCAGGAAAATAACTCATGCATGCATGTGGAGACTTACTCTGTTCCTGGTGGTACCCATCTGGCAGATGGGGAAATGGAAGTTTCAGGATAGTTAAGCAGCTTATCCCAGTAAATGGTGGAACCAGGATTGAATCAGGTCTCCTCTTTCCCAATTCAATGCTATTTTTAGCATAATGAACATGTCCCAGGTGTAAAAGAATGTGGACCTGAGAGTGAGGGCTATAGAAATCCAGAGGGAAAAAAGAAACAATCTATTCACTCAGCAAACATTTAATCATGAGCAAGATTGGTGCCTGGTGCTTGGGACACAAAGTCTAAGTCCTGGTCTCATTTCTCAAGGAACTCAGTCTAGCAGAAGATTCAACCCTGCACTGAAGTGACCAGGATGCTGAGGCAGCACAGAAGAGGGGAGCAACAGGTCAGGGGCTTAGAGAAGGTTCCTCAGAGGAGGGGGTCATAAATGAGGCATTGCTCCCTAGCTTCTTGGAAGCCATCAGTGGCTCCCCAATGCCCTCAGGATGGCATAGTATTCCAACTCCTTCACTTGGTATACAAGATTTTCATAATGAGGCCATGCTCAACTCTTAGTCTCCTACCGCTATTGCCTGTTAATCCCTTCTCTGGCCCTTCCTCTGGTCTTGGGTTGGGTGGTGGTCCTCTTTAGGAAGCCTGGCACCCCATACCACCCCAAACCTGTTAGGTGCTCCTCCTCTGTACTGCCACATGTCCTTGTGCACACCATGTCACACTGGGCACTCTGTATTGGCATTGCCTATCTTGTCTTCCTCCTCTACTACAGGAGAAGCAACGTGAGTGCGGACCAAGGTTCCCTGTGCCCACCCCGAGGCCTGGCAATAGAAGCTGTTCAATGAGTGATACATTAACAGAGTATGTCACTCTGGTGCTTCCCTGAGGTCCTCTCACTGCACCCAATTACGTCTCTCCCTGCACCAAAGCTTGGTCAGTTTGTCCTCCAAGAAGCCTTCTCAAATGGACTCTCAACAATTCCGCTGCTTCATTACACGTGACATCTACCCAACGCTCATGATCTTCCATTTACTCAATTAAAAAAATAAATTTGCTGATGCCTGCTCTGTGAAGGCCTGTGTCATCTGGAGGTGGAGAGAACAAGACCCAGGCTGCACCCTCAGGAAGCTCGGAGTCTGGTAGGGGAGGCAGACATGTGTAGGGACAATGAAGGCAGCATGGCAAGTGTTGGGTTGGACAGGGGATATCCAGTTGCTGCAGGTGCAAAGGGAGAGAGAGACTAAGTCTGGGGGAAGGTTTCACTTGACTGGAGGCAAGTCAGCAGGGATGCCCAGGTGTGACCTTGAATTGCAGCCTGTGGCTAGGCAATGGTGTTTAGTAAGGAGGTGTTTTGGTCAGAGAGGGGTTGGAAATGGAGGGTGGTCTAAAGGGAAGAAACTGCAGAAAAGAAAACTAGTCGTGAGACTGGTGAGGAGAGTGAGCAAGCAGAACTGCCTGAGGTTTCCCAGGAAAAGAAAGGAATGGCCAAGCCGGTTCCTCCCCCAGGAAACCCCAGGAGCAGCACTGAAGTGAGCAGCTCCAAGTGGAGGGTCCAGCAGGTGTGGGACACAGGACACAGGGCATAGTCACTCTATTTAGAGACACCCTCCCTCCTCCTCCACGCTCCCACCTCACCCCACCCCACCCCACCCCACCCCACCCCTCGGGGCCAGCATCCCTCAACAACAGAAAACCGGCCTCTCTTGAGCTGGTCCCTCCGAATTGGAGACACCGGAGCTCCCCTCCCGGCTGTTCCCCTCCTGGCCGTTCCCTTCCTGGCTGTTCTGGAATTCAGTCCAGGCTCCACTTGCGAGGACCCGCCCATGGGAAAAGGCGCTAGAGATGGAGCCGGGCCTGGGTGCCCGCACTTCGGAACCACTCCATCCCCCAGGGACCTGGTCGCTCACAGCACTCGAGGGACACGCGATGCCGCTTACGCTCACCTGGGAACAGGACATTCCTAAATGGGGTGGGGCCGCAGTCCTTCCCTGCTTCCTGTGCAGCGGAGGGGGACCAGCTAAGCAAGGGGCAGCGGCACTGGTCCCAAGGCTCTTAGCCCTGGCTCTTAGCTCACAATCCCTGAGAGACAGGGGAGGGGCAGCGCGCTTTAGCTGGCAAAAGAGGGACCTCAATTTGCTGGGGAGCCCTAGGTCTTGTAGTGAGCGTGGTGCGGCTTGGAGAGATCTGACGGGAGGGGACTATTTTCGGTCATGGCGGGTGTGGGAAGGCTTGGCAGGTGAAGAGAACAGAATGCATGGTGAATGGGAGGCGGACTGGAAGAGAGTTGGGAAGGTAAGCCAAAGGGATGGAAGCTGGGGTCCTAGGATGTAAGGTCCGTGTGGGCAAGGCTTGCACTGTGCGGTGCACTGGTGTATCTTTGTGCCCCTAAGAACGTTTAGGCATACACCAAGTCTCCACCCCCATCCCCACCCCCCATATTTGTTGGATAGACAAGCTGAGTAATTTACACCCAGTCCTGAAAATAGTACGTTTTTAAATATATATAATCTTTATTGATTCCAGAGAAGGGAGACGGAGAGAGATATCAATGATGAGAATCATTGATTGGCTGCCTCCTGCACGCCCCCTCCTGGGGATCGAGCCCAAGGGTCCACAGGCTGACGCTCCACTGAGCCAAACCAGCTTAGGGCAGTTACATTTTAAGTAGGAAAGTGACGCGGTCAGGTTGGTTTAGAAAGATTATTCTGGCAGCCAGTGGAGGAAGGCTCTGTAATACTGCATGAGAGACGAGTGCGGGCTGGAGCAATACTGCCTTGTTGGTCAGCAACTAAAGGGAATGGGAAGTAGCCAGACTAGGAGCCAAGGTGAGATGGAATCCCAAGAGTGTGGGAGAGGAATGAGAGGGAGAAGGTAAGAGTCTCTCTAAAGCAGCGGTTCTCAACCTGTGGGTCGCCAACAATGAAAATACATCCTGCATATCAGATACTTACATTACGATTCTTAACAGTAGCAAAATTACAGTTATGAAGTAGCAACGAAATAATTTTATGGTTGGGAGTCACCACAACATGAGGAACTGTATTAAAGTGTCGCGGCATTAGGAAGGTTGAGAACCACTGCAAAGTGACTAGATTTGGCCACTTGGATGAAGAGTGTGCTACAGAAAGAATTTTGTTAATATTGGGTAGGATCCCAGGCACCAGTTCTAACATCTGCCCCACATTCTCCCACCTACCCTGCCACTAAGTTAGAGGGATATGCAAAGAGCAGGGGTGGAGTTAGGAGCTCAAGTGGCACTGCCTCTCCTAGCAACCTGGAGGGTAAAGTCACAGCACAGGATCTAGTGTGTCCTGAGTGGCTATAGCCACAGAGCACTGGTCAATGTTTTACAGACAGTGTCATCATTTATTAGATTTTCTCAAATGCCCAAGGTATTAACATTCCCGTTCTCCAGAAGAGGAAATAGTGGATTCGTTGATTTTATTGAAGGTTATACCTTTAATAATTCATGAAGCTGAGACCTGAACACAGTCTGACATGAAAGTCAGATCTAAGGTGTCTGAGAAACTAAAGAACCAGAATGGAGGCAAGTTCATCCAAGGTGTGCTGCAAGTTCAAGCCAAGGGCCAGATTGACTTCTGTCACTTGTGTTTCTCTTAATTTGTCCATGCCATGTGGTCCATTAAGGGGGTAAATTAAAAACTGTAGCATAATGGTTATAATACTGGCTTTAACTTTTAACCAAGTTATATTCCAGCACTAACACTGACCAGTTGTGTAAATTTGAACAAGTTACTTTGTTTCATGAACCTATATTCTAGTCTGTAAAATGGGATTATATAACTTAGCACAGAGTAAAAGCTCTATTATTATTATTATTACATGATCATGCATTTGTTAGCTGAAACTTCCCCAAGGCTTCCTTTGGAAGAGGGAGAAAAGCAGGAGTAGCTAAGAAAGCCCCTTTTCTTCATCTTCCAGAAGTTTCTAGTTTCTTCCCATTCTGGATCTCACAGGAAGTGAAGAACAAGAATAGTAAGGTTAGACAATCTACCCTTGTGATAATATGGTAGCCACTAGCCATATCTGGCTCTTCAGCACTTAAAATATGACTAAGTCCAAATAGAGACATGCTAAATACACACCAGAGTTTAAATATTGTTTAAAAACAAAACTAATATTTTTTAGTATTACCTATTGAAATGTTAATATTCTGCACATACTGGGTTAGTACAATGTATTATTAAAGTTAATTTCACCTGTTTCTGTTTTTTTAATGTAGCTACCAAAAATTTTAAAACCACACATGTGGCCCTGATCGGTTTGGCTCAGTGAATAGAGCGTCGGCCTGCGGACTCAAAGGTCCCAGGTTCGATTCCGGTCTGGGGCATGTACCTTGGTTGCGGCCACGTCCCCAATGGGGAGTGTGCAGGAGGCAGCTGATTGATGTTTCTCTCTCATCGATGTTTCTAGCTCTCTATCCCTCTCCCTTCCTCTCTGTAAAAAATCAATAAAATATATTTTTAAAAAAAGAAAAGAAGAAAAAAACAGCACACATGTGGCTCATATTGTATTTCTTCTAGCTACATTGACTGAGATCCTTTGCAGGATATAAATAAAGGCAGAGCTCCAGATGTCCACCTATTCATCCATTCATTATTAGAGTATTTATTATGTGCCAGGCACTATTTTAGGTGCTAGGGATATAGCAATAAACAAGGCAGACGCCATTTCTGTCGTATTGGGAAAGGCAACCAATAAGGTCTGGTCGTGATAAGGGCTATGGAAAACAAAGCAGTCAGAGTGATTTCGACATAAGAGCTGGTATTTCTGATAGGGTCATCTGTGAAGTAGTATTTGAGCAGGACCTAAATGATGAGAAGATGCAAACCATGCAAAGATCTTGGGGGATATTCCAGGCAGATGGAACAGCAAATGTAAAGGGTCTGAAGCAGGAACAAGCTTGGTGTGTTAGGACGGAATGTCAGCAGGAACATGGTGAATACTGACAGTGGCAAATCACATAACACCTTGGCAAAAAGTTTAGATTTTATTCTAAGTATAATGAGAAATTGTTGGGTTATTCTTATATAGAGGTGTTGTGACCTGCTTTATAATTTTCAATGATGATGCTGATAGTCTCTGTGAAGACAGAATGAAGGGTGAGAATAAAGGTGGGGAGCCAAGGATACTGCATTAGTGTAGGCCAGAAATGTTGGTGTTGTGGACGAAGAGGGTAGTGGTGAAGGTGGTCTGAAGCAGTCAGATTGGGATGTATTTTAAAGACAGAGCTAAGATGACTTGCTGATTGGTGTGGGAAAAACAAATGAAATCAAGGATGACTTAGGTTTTTGGCCTTGACAAAAGTGTGAGACAGATGCTGATGGAAATATGCAGAGAAAACTGGTCATGAAACAGGTTTTTGGAGAGAACTCAAGACTTCCACTTTGAACATGGTTAAGTTTGTAATGATGTCAAATAAGGCTCTTGCATAAACAGTCTGTGTGAAACTTGAGGGAGAGATCAGGGCTGGACCTGCATGTCAATCAGCAGCATATGGTGGTATTTAAAGTCAATGGGATGGATGGATTAGAGAGAAAGTCAACAGGGCCAAGGGCTTGGCCCAGAGCAGTTAAAAATGTGCCAGGAGCTGAAAAAGTGGAATTAGTGAAGTAGGAGAAAAGCAGATATTGTAATTCCATCTCAAAATGAAGGAAAAAAACCTTTCAAGCAGCGAGTACACAACTGAATCAAATGCTGCTTAAGACTACAAAGGCCCAATTGCTCTAGGCACTTAGGAGCTCCATCCTCCCAAGCTCCGACTCCTTAATAAACCTATCTTGTGAAGGGGAGGGGTGCTCCATTGCTTATGAGTTGTGTGACCTTAGGTAAGATCAAGCTGATCTTTGCAGAATGGACTGGCGAGGGGATAGAAGAAAGTTGCCCTGTTGGGGAGACCCATGTAGCAAGGATCTAAGGGCAGACTCTGTGAGTTGAGAGGCTGACCCTCCCCAAATCTGGCCATTGTGCTTTCTCAGATTCTCCACTCACTCTAGCAAGGCAGAATGAGCAGAGAGGGCAAGTCAAACCTCACCAATAGTGCAAAAATACCAGAATCACACACACTAGTGCAGCCAAGCCAAGCTGTTTATCATCCTCCATTACACAACATTCTTGTTCCCTGATGAATTTATTATTATTATTTTAAATATATTTTTATTGATTTCAGAAAAGAAGGGAGAGGAACAAATAGAAACATCAATGATAAGAGAGAATCATCAACCCGCTGCCTCCTGCATGCCCCACATTGGGGATCAAGCCCGTAACCTAGGCATATGTCTTGACTGAGAATCGAACCATGACCTCCTGGTTCATAGGGGACACTCAACAACTGAGCCACACCGGCCGAGCTCCCTGATGAATTTGAAGCTTGACTGCACCAACTGTTAAAGTAGCCTAAACCCAATCTTAAACACTAGTTACCAAAAAAATTAAAACCAGTCCCCTATGGAAATCCTTGCCAACCTTTTTATGGGAAGAAAAACTCTTCTTTCTCTAATGCTCTGACTTAGGAGAAGAGAGGGAGACAAAGGAGAAGGAAAGTACACTAGCCAGTATGCTGAAACTGACTGGGTGGGTATCTGTGACCCAGAGAGGATCCCAAAAAAGACTGAGGTGACTCATTATCATCCCAACTAAAACTAATAATGACAGCATTACAATCACATAGGGTCTCCTTCCAAGCAGTTCATGATTCACTTACACATCCTCAATTCTCCCGCCACCCCCATCAAGGCAGAGAATGGGGGCAACAAGGAGGTGACAGGTCCTTGCCGTGAGAGCTGTGTGTCAGAGTCCATTTTCAGTGAGTCAGTCCCTGGAAGTTGGGGTCAGGCGTTGGAGGCAGGGCCATTGGCTGGTTTAGCAATTTGTCCACTATGCTGATTTTAGCATCTTGCTTCTCCATGTCCTCATAGGGAGTCCAGGACAAGTCATGCTGTAGCTTGTAGGCACCAATGAAGTCATGTGGACAACTCGTTCCCCATTCCTAGAGAAGGCAAAGGAGTCAGTTCTGATTAGGATAAGATGTAAAGACATTTCCTAATTATGCCACGAATTTCTTTTTAGGCTTTTCACTTCAGACCAGTCAGAATCATCCTGGAAAGTCTAACATTACACATTACGGATTCCTCCCTTTGCAGACATAATGGCTGTGAAATCATTTAAGCACATGTGTTTTTCAGAATCATATCGGGGCTCACACCACCTCCCATTTTCTGGGAAACCATTTACCAACCCCTATGCCTACATTTTCACACACATGCCAAGAATTTCTCAAAGACTAGGAGTAGACTTTTTGTACAAAAATAAATGTTCTTACCTTTGGAGAAATAATAGAAAAATACTGCTGACCACTCTCCCGTTGATAAAGGTAGTAAATGTTGCCAGGTTTTTTCACTATATTACAAGCTATGTGGTGCAAGTCAGCATCTCTGCGAGCATCTTCTAATACCTAAGTACCACAGAGAGGTAACAAATTAGATATTGGAGGTAACAGGCACTCATATTCAGTGATTATCCCAATTAAAATCCCAATTAATATTTATGATCTTGCTTCCTCCCCCATAACAAAAAGTCACTGCCGGGATCAGATGAGTCTGCAGAGATAAAAATTAGACTATAATTTTACTGTGCTGTAAAAATTCCTTTAGAAGAAATATATTTCAAAATGTTAAGCATTAGTGGCTTTGAGTGATTTTTGTATTTCTTTCCTACTTTTCTGCAGTAGGTACATTGCTTTTATAACTGAAAACGTATTTTCCCATCAAAATGCTTTATCTCACTGAACTTTCTCCTAGTGAAAAAACTTAGATTATACTTAACCTCTTGGACTTACTTTATTTTGCTCAATACCTCTATATTTTTAGAAGGTACTGAAGACAAGCTACATGATCATAAGCAAGTTCAGTCAATCCTATGAACTAAATGAGGGAAATGAAGTCCTGCCTAAAAGCCATGACTTACCTTCCTGGCTTGTTCTTGCAAATGCTGGATTTGCTCAGCTATCACTGTTAGCTTGTTGGTGGCATTTGCCCGGACGAATTCATCAGCCTAAAGGTGAGAGAAACTGAACTGTGGGTCGAAAAAGGGTCAGACTTATGATGCTCTTATTTAGATCTCAATTATGAAGAGTTGCATCAACATCTTCACTTATGCCTAAAATATTTTTCCCAACCTCACCATTCCCCCATGAATTCTCATTCACCTCAAAGCCCAGTTCAAATAGCACTGCTAATGAGAAGCCAACCCTGACATGACCCCACACCACAGAATTAAGTGCTCTTTTCTACTTCCCATAGCTTTCTACCCTTTTCACTCTGTTCTAATTACACTGAACTTCTTTGGTCCACCAACATACCCTGATCTCTCTTGCTACCAAATATACTGATTATGTATATTTGATTCCATCTAACACATCCCTCTACCCCACTAACCCTGCTTATTCCTTAGGTCTCCATTTATTTTTTCATGTTTAAACATATCTAAAATCAGGGCTGGGTTTTCAATGAAAATCCAGACATGTATGATATGGCTCTTATCACCTGTTATATAAGAATCTAGCTATATACAGAGTATCTATTCATCTGATCAATACCTCAATTGAACTTATATTTACATTCATAATTGTTATTTAAAATGTTTATGGTATAGACCTGAAACAAAGTTATAATGTACACATAAGACTGCCTGTCATGTGCTAGAAAATGTGTGAAAGCAAGGGAAATTGCTTCAAATAAATAAATTTGAAAGTTAGGAGAGATGGTGTGACTAATTAATGTATTGGGAAGGATTATCACTCAGGCATCAGAAATCTGTCAAAAGTTTCCAGCTTATGTTGAAGAAAAGCTGATTAATTTCCAGTGGCATACAATTAAATTAAGAAAAAGAAATTAGGAGGCTAAACTTGAATTTGAACTAAAGAATAATAACAGAATTTGCTAGTTAGTTGAGAGAGCTTAAGGTAAGAGTCAGGTATAAGCCAGTGTTATGAGTGAACAGAAACAATTGAATAAGTTGAGTCAATCATTTATCTGTTCCACAAATATATATTTAGTAACTACTGTGTGTCAAACACCATGCTAAGCACTGGATGCATTGACAAACATGAGAGAGAGGTCCCTACCTTCGTCAAGATTATACCATCTCTCCTAGCTTTCAAATCTAATGCAATTGTCCTTTAGAATATAAAACAAGTTGCATATGTAATTTTAAATAGTCTTGTAGCTGTGTTAAAAGTAACTAAACTTAATTCTAATAACATTTTATTTAACCAATATATCAAAAGCTTATCATTTCAACATTATTAATTAATATTTTAAAAATTGTTAAAAAAAATTGTTAATAAGCCCTAACGGGTTTGGCTCAGTGGATAGGGCATTGGCCTGCAGACTGAAGGGTCCCAGGTTCAATTCCGGTCAAGGGCATGTGCCTTGGTTGCAGGCACATCCCCAATGGGGAGTGTGCAGGAGGCCGCTGATCGATGTTTCTGTCTCATCGATATTTCTAACTCTCTATCCCTCTCCCTTCCTCTCTGTTAAGGAATCAATAAAATATATTTTTTTAAAAAATTGTTAATAAGCCTGGCTGGCATGGCTCAGTGATTGAGCATTGTCTACCTATGGACCAGGAAGTCACGGTCTGATTCCCTGTCAGGGCACATGCCCAGGTTGCGGGCTCCATCCCCAGTGTGGGGCATGCAGGAGACAGCTGATCAATGATTCTCTCTCATCATTGATGTTTCTCTCTCTCTCCCTCTCCCTTCCTCTCTGAAATAAAAATATATTTTAAAAATAATAAAATAAAAATTGTTAGTAAGATATTTTTTATTTTATATTAAGTTTATATTTTATACTCACAGCACCTATCAATTTGGATGCTAAATTTTCATTGGAAATACTTGATCTATATTTGGACTTCATAAAGTTTACAGCTGAGTTAATTCACATACTCAAATTGTTCCAAATATACTTATAGGTAAAAGTTTCCAATAACTATCAGGTTTTTAAATTAAGTAATATTACATAAAATTTAAAATTTAGTTTCTCAGTTGCACTAACCATAAATTCCAAGTCCTCAACAGCCATTATATAACTAGTAGCTACCATATTATACAGCACAGCCCTGTAGTGAGTAATACAGACAGCAGGAAGAAAATTAAAGGTAATATTACACATACTTAGAATAATGATGCACTATTATGAAGGAAACAGCCATAGTCATGTGATAGAAGCAGATCAAAGAAAACAAATGAAATAACTGGTTTAATAACAGGGAGTGGTGAGGACTGCAGGAATTGGAACGCATGTATAGAGGCACTTATTAATAATTTAGATGGGGTAGGATATAGCCTTCTACAGACAAAAGGCCTCACTCAGGATGTGACATTGTCTTGGATCTGAATGAAAGAGCCAGGCATGCAAAAAACTGGCTAAGCTTCCAGGCATTTCTGAAGCCAGTGCAGCTGAAGAGTAGTTAGTGGGGGTGGGAATGGGGAGGGTGAAAAAGAGGGCAGGGACCAGATCATGGCCCATGACAAAAGAATTTTCATTTTGTTCCAAGGACAATGAGGTACCTTATGGCCAATGACAGAGCTGGTTTCTAGAACTAAAGTAGTTCATTTTTCTTAAGGTGGTGGCAGCAAATCTGTTCCTTGTAAACATAAGGGCCTAATTAAAACAGAAATGAGAGTACCCATAATTACTAAGCACAAACTCTGGCCCCAATCATTCTAAGGCCCTTTACATATATTATGATTTAATTCTTGTAACGTCTTATGAAGTTGGATATGACAACTTCACTTTCTCATTTTAGGAATCAGACTCAGAAAGGTGAAACAACCTGTCCAAGATTTCACAGCTAATAGCAGTTGAAGATTTGAACACAGATCAGTCTGATTACAAATTTCAGAGCTTTCTAAACACATATTAATACTTAAAAGGCACGTCAGAGGTCAGTCCTGCTGGAAAGTACATTTCAGTACACAGGCAGTAAATATTCTTGATTCAATTTGTCTCTAGTGTGTTTGTTTCAGCTTCTCAAACAATGATAATGTGGGGGAAATGGAGGCAGCACAATAATGCATCCTCTATATCTCACTAAACTATAGGCTGAAGAACAAAAACTAGATTCCTTCTTTCTCTGTTTCAGGACATTGTAATAAACATGATGGTTACTCAGTAACCCATGAAAATGTTTGCCTAAAATTTGGCCCTGGAAGCCTCCCTCCCACTAAGAGTGATCTGATTAAAAAGACACATGACATTCTTCTAATCCATAAAAGTTATACTTTGCTCCCTACCTGTCTAGAAAAGAGAAGGCACAAGGTTTGAACCAAAGGGGCTTTCCTAAACATCTGAATATTTCTTAATTTAAAAAAAAAATTAAAAACCCTGAAGTACAGAGATGTTTATGGTGAGGGAATTTGAGCACATTATTATATACAAAGACCTTTGAACATAATCAAGGCCAAATGGATATTATAAGCTTTACTAGAGGCCGGGTGCACAAAATTTGGGGAGGGGAAGGGCCTCAGCTCGGCCTGTACCCTCTTGCAGTCTGGGGGGGGAGGGGGGGATGTCTGACAATCGGGACATCCTTAGCGCTGCCAGGGAAGCAGGAGAGGCTCCCGCCACCACAGCTGCACTTATCAGCTGTGAGCCCAGCTTCTGGCTGAGTGGCGCTCCCCCTGTGGGAGTGCACTGACCACCAGGGGGCAGTCCTGCATTGAGCGTCTGCCCCGTGGTGGTCAGTGCATGTCATAGCAACTGGTCATTCCCCTGTTCAGTCGATTTGCATATTAGCCTTTTATTATATAGGATTGTTGTTATTTATTAATCCTCACCTGAGGATATTTTTCCCATTGACTTTTTTTTTTTTTTAAATATATTTTATTGATTTTTTACAGAGAGGAAGGGAGAGAGACAGAGAGCCAGAAACATCGATGAGAGAGAAACATCGATCAGCTGCCTCCTGCACATCTCCCACTGGGGATATGCCCGCAACCCAGGCACATGCCCTTGACCGGAATCGAACCTGGGACCTTTCAGTCCGCAGGCCGACGCTCTATCCACTGAGCCAAACCGGTTTTGGCCCCATTGACTTTTAGAGGGGGAAAGAAAGAGAAGGAAGAGAGAGAAACATCGATGTGAGAGAGACACATTAATTGGTTGCTGCCTCCCACACGTGCCCCCACCTACTGGGGAATGGTGCCCTTGACAAAGAATGGAGCCCAGGACCCTTCGGTGAGTGGGCTGGTGCTCTACCCCTGAGCCACACCAGTCGTTGGTTTTTATTTGTTTAATCCTCACCTGAGGATATGTTGTTGCTTTAATGTATTTTTACTGATTTCAGAGAGGAAGGGAGAGTAAGAGAGAGATAAAAACATCAATGATGATAAAAAGAAAGAAAGAAACATCCATGAGAGAGAATCATTGACCAGCTGCCTCCTGCATGCCCCCTACTGAGGATCGAGCCCACAACTCGGGCATGTATGTGCCCTTGACCGGAATCGAACCCGAGACTCTTCGGTCCGCAGGCTGGCGCTCTATCCACTGAGCAAAACCAGCTAGGACCTGAGGATGTGGGGAGGGAAGAGTGAGAAGAAAGAGGGAGAAAGAGAGAGAGAGAGAGAGACATCGATGTGACAGATATTTGTCTCCCATCTGCCCCTGGACCGGAGGTCAAACCCACAACCTTTTGGTGTAGGACACCACTCTCCAACCAACTGAGCCACCGGCCAGGGCACTATCATAAGCTTTAAAGCAGCAGGGCCGGCCCAGTACAAATTGAAGGAGGTTCTACAGCTGCAAGTCTCGGTAAGAGGGTAGATGGAATTTGGTTTTTCAGAGCTTTGGACCTCGGAGCTCTCCCAGTCTAAACTCTGCATCTTATAAGGAAGCTGAGGTCCACAGAAAAGTAATTTGCCTCAAGTCATAGTGCAAGTTAATATCAAAAGTGGGATTCAAACTCATGTGTCTAAATTCCAGTGCTTTTTCCCTGACTTCACATTCCCTCCTGATTTTACTCTTTTAGCAATCGATGTCTACGCACTGGGCTTGTAGGACAGAGGACGAACTTAGAGCCGTTGTCCTTTTAGATGTTCAGTTCTAAAAGCTCTCAGGTCACAGATAAAAGATCTTATGGGGAAACGGTTTTAAGCGGACTATGCATCGCTGCAGAACCTGCATTCGTGTTCTTGAAACTCCCCAGGGAACTTCTCAAGTGTCAAATGAGAAGAACAACTTCGTACTGCCTACCTCACAGGTGGTCCTAAGGCCCAATGAAATAATGAATCCTGACAGTGCTGCGCAAACCTTCCCGCGAGGGCACGCAAGCTGCAGCTGAACGAGCCTTTGGTCTCAGAGTTCGAGACCAGACCCGCAGTGACAATCCGGTTTTCCTGTGTGTAAGACGGAGACAAGCACATGGCTACCCCACACTAAGTGGCGGTGCGGTCCGAGTCGTAAGACGCAGGACCAACAGTGAAGGAACATGGTTACTGCCGATCCCGGCCGCGCCTCCTCACCTTCTGTACTTGCTCTGCGAGCGCCACGAGGTCTAAGGGGTCCCCGGCCCGGTGGGTGTAGTAGGGGCTCACCAGGGCCAGGCCGCCGGGGTTCGGGGTGAGCTCCACCAGGGCTCCTGCGACACACACCCGGGAACACAGGCCGTGAGCGCCCGCCCTCGGCCTCCCGCGGAGCCCGGCAGACCAGCTGCCCCGTGAGGGCCTCTCTGCCCCTTCTGACTCCCGCCCCGCATACCTCCCCGATCTGTCGCCGAACGAACTTGGTTTTCAGGGACTCCCTCACTCCGCCCGGGCGTCGCTGCGTCCTCCATGACAGCAGCTAACCTTCCCCACCTCCACTGGCCTGCGGCGGAAGAGTATGCGCACAAAAGCCCGTGGGCGGAGCTTCCGTGGTCCCCGGCCAATGGCGTCCGAGATGCGGAGCTCGGAGGCGGGACTCCAAGTGACGCAGAGGGTTCCGCTAAGGGGTGGAGCCCTGCAAGCCTTCGGTACTCGCAGCGCCCAGCCTGGGGGCGGGGCTTCAGGCGGGGCGGGGCGGAGCTGCCTGGGGGTGGGACTCGGGTCTCCGTGGCGGGTGGCGAGCTGTCTGGTTAGGTCTGAGGAGGTGATGGCGGCACGCGTGTTGAAGCTGCTGACCACACTGTTGGCCGTCGCCGCCGCTGCCTCCCGAGCCCATGCCGAATCCGAGGCAGAGTGGGACATGTTGGCGCCGGATCTGCTCTTTGCCGAGGGGACCGCGGCCTACGCGCGCGGGGATTGGCCCGGGGTGGTACTGAGCATGGAGCGGGCGCTGCGCTCGCGGGCCGCCCTGCGCGCCCTCCGCCTGCGCTGCCGCACCCGGTGCGCCGCCGACTTCCCGTGGGAGCTGGACTCCGACTCGCCCCCGAGCCTGACGCAGGCCTCGGGCGCTGCCCTGCACGATCTGCGCTTCTTCGGGGGCCTGTTGCGCCGCGCTGCCTGTCTGCGCCGCTGCCTGGGACCGCCGGGCGCCCACTCGCTCAGCGAGGAGCTGGAGTTGGAGTTCCACAAGCGGAGCCCCTACAACTACCTGCAGGTCGCCTACTTCAAGGTGCAGACCTGTCCGCTGGCTGGGGTTCTTCTGGGCGTAGGTGAAGGCGACCCGGGGGAACTTGGCGGGGGGCCCGGGAAGGATCCGCAGAGAGGGAAGGTGGTCTCGGCCCGAGAGCTCTCCTCAGACCCAGGGAGGGCGAGGACCCTGCTGGGAGACCTGCCTAGCCCGCTTCGCATAGTCAGATGGTAGCCCCAAAGGTCCAGCCTGGAGTTAGGGAACCCATCAACCGAAACGTGGCCCGTGTTTCCCCGACAGGCTTCCTAAAGGGACCCAAAGTGGCAGCTTGGGTTTCTCACCCTGATTTCATTGTAGTTGTCCGAGAGAGAAGCCCGGACCTTTCTACACGATCTTCCTTCCGGTTCGTTTTTCAGTGATGCTTTTCCTGCTGCCTGAGTGCCACCGCTTTCTCTAAGACGTGAGGTTGCCACGTCGCCAGTAGGGGCTGTCTGGCCCCTCCCTGTGGGGGACCCTCTGGCGAGTCTGTCAGGTTTCCAAAGAAATGAGTAACTTTAGGAATTCCAGAGTGCCTTAAGTCCAAGTATACATGGATTTGGAGCACTCCTGGCCTGCCTGATGATGATGATGATGGTGATGATGATAACCAACACATACTTTCAGCACTATTTTAAATACTTTGCGTTTATTAATTCATATGCCCAGATCCTGGCTATATCCTGTAAGGTAGGTACTACTTATTAGCCCCATTTTATTGGGTGAAAAAAGAAGGAGCTGTGCTTTATATCTGTTATGTCCATGGTTTGATAGACTTTAAATTCAACCTGAAGAGAGACTTAGAAAACCTTTGGAACCGCAGATTTCCACGTCTCCACAAATGTTTTGTGTACACAGTTCTGCCCCGTTCCTCCTAATTACGCAGAAGAGTGCTGGGTTTGAAACCAAAACAGTTGGGCTATCTTTAGTCATGTCACTTAACAGCACTTTTTAAAAGTCTTTGACAAACATTTATTGAATACCTACTACATTCCAGTTCTTCTGCAAGTAATTAAAATGCTAGACTTTATGGTTTTTTGTTTGTCTTGCTTTGCTGTTAAGAATCACTATCATGAGGGGTACTGAAATGATATGTACATAGGGCTGTGGGAGCACAGAGGAGGGAGATCTATCTTTGTCTCAGAGAAATTAGAGAGACTTGAAAAAAAGCCCTAGCTGGTGTGGCTCAATGGATAGAGCATCAACCTGCGGACTGAAAGGTCCCAGGTTCGATTCCAGTCAAGGGCATATGCCCGGGGGTTGCAGGCTCCATCCCCAGTAGGGGGCCTCCAGGAGGCAACCAATCAATGATTCTCTCTCATCATTGATGTTTCTGTCTCTCTCTCCCTCTCCCTTCCTCTCTGAAATCAATTTAAAAATATGTGAAAAAAAAAGAGGTGACATTTGAAGCTGATTCTAGATATTGCTAGAGGAGAGCACCCTGTTCCAGGTAGAGTGAGGCCAGACTGGGAAGAGAATTCTGTAGGCTTCAGGGAGCCATCATCAGAAGTGGGTTTTAGAATGCTGACCCTGGAAGCCATGTGAATAAGCCTTGGCGAAGGAGAAAGTGGTGGCAGGGCGAACCATTAGGGGATGAGTGCAGTTGTTCACATGAGAGAAGGAAACTAAAGGGTTGGGGATGGAGTGAGGAAATGGGGGAGAATAGAGAAAGCAAGGGCAATGCTGAAAGATGGGAGGGAGAATAAACCCATAAAAGGAATGGACTTAAAAGAATTTATGATTTTATAATTAAGGGAACTGAGGTCCAGAGATGGGGATTATTGACCTTGGGTCACCACTATTTTAAGGTTACAGGCTTTATTTTATTTTATTTTATTTATTTTTATTTCTTAAAGTATTACAAAGAGTATTACACATGTCTCCCTTTCCCCCCCTTGACATTTTAAATACTTTGCATTTTTAAATTCATTTGCCCATTAGTTAATCATTAAATCATCAGTGATTTAGTTTGGATTCTACATATGAACCTGTGTAACTTTGATATGCTGGAGTCCATTGCTATGGACATTATTGTGGCTTGTAGCACATCCCTGCCCCCCTTCCCCTCAGATATTTGTATAACCTCATGAGTCCTGGATTTTGAGTCTGAAGATGCCATGCCTGGATGTTGTAGAGCAAGCATGTCAAACTCAAAGGCTAACATGGGCCAAAAAAGCAAGGTTTAAGTTGATGTGGGCCACAAAAAAACAAAAGCTTCAATTTTCACAGAAACATAGGTTTATGCCGAAACCGGTTTGGCTCAGTGGATAGAGCGTCGGCCTGCGGACTGAAGGGTCCCGGGTTCGATTCCGGTCAGGGGCATGTGCCTTGGTTGCGGGCACATCCCCAGTAGGGGGTGTGCAGGAGGCAGCATATCGATGTTTCTCTCTCATCGATGTTTCTAGCTCTCTATCCCTCTCCTTTCTTCTCTGTAAAAAATCAATAAAATATATTAAAAAAAAAAAGAAACATAGGTTTATTTTGATGGAGACATGCTGAATACAAAGGGCTGAAATAAATGAGTAATCGTTAACATAAAATAATAGAACATTTTAATAAAAATTAATATTTTCTTGAACATTAACTTACCAGACACTGAATAACGGCACAAATTAATAAGCATAACACAAATAAACCTATTTTTCTTGTTCTCCAAAAGCAAAATATTTCCTGTTGCGCACCAAACAGGTCAGTACAAGACTAATGACATGGCAATTGGCTGCTAAAATATTCGCTGCTAGTATTAGTGGAGAAAAATGGTGTGCCTGCACATAAGGTACGTAAGGGAAATGAATGCAACATGATTATAATTATCAGTCATTAGCAAACATTGTAATTCGTTATTAATAACTAGAGGCCCGGTGCATGAAAATTTGTGTTCTTGGGGGGATCCCCCATCACAGCCTGTGCCCTCTCGCAGTCCAGGACCACTGGGGGATGTTCACCTACCAGTTTAGGCCCGCCCCCCAGGGGATTGGGCCTAAGCTGGCAGTCAGACATCCCTCTGGCAGCCCTAGAGCCCTCGGGGGATGTCCACCTGCCAGCTTAGGCCCGCTCCCTGGGGGATTGGGCCTAAGCCTCAGTCAGACATCCTTAGCACTGCGGAGGAGGCGGGAGAAGCTCCCACCACTGCCGCTGCGCTTGCAGCCGTCAGCCCGGCTTGGGCTAAGCGGAGCTCCCCGTGGGAGCGCACTGACCACCAAAGGGCAGCTCCTGCGTTGAATGTCTGCCTCCTGGTGGTCAGTGCACATCATAGTGACCGGTTGTTCCTGGTCACCCGCTGTTAGGGGCAATTTGCTTATTACCCTTTTATTATATAGGATTATATATAACAGGATATTGTAAAAATTAAGTTACAAAATTTTTATTAAAATGTTTCTTACAGCCCTGACTGGTTTGGCTCAGTGGATAGAGCATTGGCCTGCGGACTTAAGGGTCCCAGGTTTGAGTCTAGTCAAGGGCATGTACCTTGGTTGCAGGCACATCCCCAGTAGGGGGTGTGCAGGAGGCAGCTGATCGATGCTTCTCTCTCATCGATGTTTCTAACTCTCTTTCCCTCTCCCTTCCTCTCTGTAAAAAATCAATAAAATATTTTTTTTAAACGTTCCTTACATACCGTTATATTGGCTGCACAGCAAAAATATTTGTTGTGGGCTGCATGGGGCCCGCAGGCTGCGAGTTTGACATGCTTGTTGTAGAGGACCTTAGTATTTGTCAGCCACCCACCTTTTCCTTGAATGTGTCATTTTATGCAAAAAAACCCACACTTTTTTGCCCTGGGCATTTTGGCTCATGGGTTGATAGAGTGTTGGTCCTTGAACTGTAGGGTCCCAGAAACCCCGGGGTTTGATTCTGGTCAAGGGCACGTGCCTCAGTTGCAGGTTGCAGGCTGGATCCCTGGCCCCCCGATCGGGGCGTGCTGGAGGCAACCAGTTGCGTGTGCCTCTCTCTCTCACATCAATGTTTCTCTGTCTCTCTCCCTCCCTTCTCTCTCTTTAAAAAAAAAAAAAAGGAAAAATATCCTCAGGTGAGGATTAACAAACTAGACACTTTTTCTAAGCATATCCTTTCTTAGACATGGTCTGATTGTTAACTGCTCTTTCTCCTCTAACCTTAAATAAATTCTTAAAGCCTTGGATTTTCTTCAGCTCAGTCAGTACATGTAAATCTTGAGAATACATTATTTGAGCAGTCAGTCTTCTATAGTGTTCCTTCTACAATATGACCTTTGTTTTAAAATAGAATGTTTCCCTAACCGGTTTGGCTCAGTGGATAAAGCTTCGGCCTGTGGACTGAAAGGTCC